ACCTTCTCCCCCACCCCGAAGATGACCACTCTTCGGGTTCTACTGCACGTTGCTGCTCAGCGTGACTACGAGCTTCACTCTCTTGACTTCAGCACAGCGTTCTTGCAGGGCAGCCTGCACGAGGAGATCTGGCTGCGCCGCCCACCTGGCTTTACTGGGTCGTTTCCTCCTGGTACCCAGTGGAGCCTCCGGCGGCCAGTCTACGGTCTCCGCCAGGCGCCACGCGAGTGGCACGACACACTGAGGACTACACTTGCGGCCCTTGGGTTTGCTCCTTCCACTGCTGACCCGTCACTGTTCCTGCGCACAGACACGTCGCTGCCGCCGTTCTACATCCTCGTGTACGTCGACGACTTGGTCTTTGCTACTGCTGATACTGAGGCACTCGCTCGTGTGAAGTCGGAGCTGCAGAAGAGACACACCTGCACTGACCTGGGTGAGCTGCGTAGCTACCTTGGCTTGCAGATCACCCGGGACAGAGCACGCCGCACCATCACCCTGACTCAGTCACACATGGTGCAGCAGGTCCTTCAGCGCTTCGGCTTCCAGTTCTCCTCACCACAGGCCACACCTCTGGCTACCAGCCACTCGCTCTCAGCTCCACCTTCGGACGAGTCCGTAGAGCCGAGTGGCCCGTACCCAGAGCTTGTAGGCTGCCTCATGTACCTGATGACTTGCACGCGACCTGACCTCGCGTACCCTCTTAGCATCCTTGCTCGTTACGTTGCGCCTGGGAGACACAGGCGAGAGCACTGGGAGGCTGCTAAGAGGGTGCTGCGTTACTTGTGCAGTACATCAGGCATGGGGCTGGTGCTTGGAGGACGCGACAGAGTTGTCCTCACTGGTCACTCGGACGCTTCTTGGGTGGACGACCTGGCTACGCAGCGGTCGTCACAGGGTTACACCTTCAGCCTTGGCTCTGGTTCTGTCTCGTGGCGGTCCACCCGCTCTTCTTCTGTTCTCGGCTCTAGTTGTGAGGCTGAGATCTACGCCACGGCCATGGCTGCACAGGAGTTACGCTGGCTCACCTACCTGCTGACTGACTTGGGAGAGCGGCCTAGTTCTCCTCCAGTTCTGTACGGTGACAACAAGGCGGCCCTTGCCTTGTGTCAGGAGCACAGACTGGAGCACAGGACGAAGCACATTGCTCTTCGCTACTTTCTTGCTCGAGAGCTTCAGCAGCGCGGTCAGCTTCGGCTTGTGTACGTGGACTCGAAGGCCAACACTGCTGATATCTTCACCAAGGCACTCCCGCCTAGTGATCATCAGCGGCACTGTACTTCTTTAGGCCTTGTGTCCACGTTTCCTCATTTGCTTACTGCTTGACTTTCTTTGTACTGTACTTTATATATATCTTGTTGCTTGCTTGCTAGGTTTTGATCACTGTGTTGCTTGTCTTGTACTATATCTAGCACTGCATGTGAACTGGCCTTGTGGCCTTTGCTTGTGCTCGGAGTGTGGTGACGTTGTGATCCACCCTGGGCTTGCGTTGCTTTGCTGGACTGGTCTTGTGACCCTTTGTTCTCCCCCACTTTGCCTATGGGGGTGTGTTAAATTGTAATGTGTTATATGTTGGTAGGCTGTAGTGGGGTAGCCAATATGGGGTACAACCCCAACTAGGGTTTGCTACTTGTACCCAACTGTTTCATTCAATGCACCATTCTTGCCTAGTCCTGTTGACACTTTTCTCCTCTCACCCCACTCCTCTCACCCCACTTCCAATCCGTGTGCTATGATCAGGCCGCGGGCTGATAGACCTGGCGCGGGGCGAGTTCCTGTGCCCTGTGTGTTGCAGCAGACTCACAGTACCCCACCTTCCAACCCCCTGCCCTACAAATCCCACCATAATGTGCCCAGGCCGTGGGTTGATAGACCTGGCACGGGGCGAGTTCCTGTGCCCCGTGTGTCGCTGCCTCGGCAACCTGCCGCTGCCAGACGTCCGAATGACCCTGCCCCTCGCCAACCCCCTCTCTCTCTCTGCGCTCTCCCCCCTACGTGCAGGCCGTGGGTTGATAGACCTGGCGCGGGGCGAGTTCCTGTGCCCTGTGTGTCGCCGTCTCGGTAACCTCCTGCTGCCAGACGTCCGAATGACCCTTCCCCTCGCCAACCCTCCACCTTCCTCTGAGACGCCTCTAAAAGCGAGTTCTACTGCTGCCGATGCCGCTGCCGCTGGTGGTGGTAATGGTGCTGCTTCTGGGTCTAGTTCTGGTGCTGGCGCTTCAGTGGTGAAGAAATCAGGCTCAACCAGACAAGAGAGAGAGACTGAGTGCCTTAAGAGGGTGTTGGAGCGGTTGAGAACGTTGAAGAGGTGTTTGGATGAGGAGAGGGAGGAGGGGCAGAGGGAGGAGCGGCAGCAGGTGTGGTGGACTCGCTTCTGGCTCACCAGCACCGCTATGAGCGGCTTCCTTGTCATCTTCTGCAGCCAGGTGTGTGGTTCCTTGTCTTTGTGCATCTCCGTGTGTGTGTGCGTGTGTGTGTGTGTATGTGTGTGTGTGTGTATGTGTGTGTGTGTGTGTGTGTGTGTGAGTGTGTGTGTGTGCGTGCGAGTCATAGAGCAAATGTGTTGTGGAGTGGACTCAGAGCATACTAATGGCAGCAGGTGTGCTGGACGCGCTTCTGGCTAACCAACATTGCTATGAACAACTTCCTTGTCATTAGGCTCAAGGAACCGAACATGATCTTTTTGTTCATGGCGAACGTGTTCGGCGTTCGCCCAAACACGTTCGGTATTCGCCTCGCTACCGCTGCCGAGCCGCGTCGAATACGAACGTGTACGTGTTTGACACGGGGCTTCGACGAACACTAATGTGTTCGTCGACGAATTGTCCCGCGATCAATTTTTAGGTTGCGGGAGTTCGTGTTTTGAGCTCATTTTTTAGTTCAAACACTTCGCGGCCTGACATTTCACCGTCAGATATACGCGGATCTGACATTCCGCTGTCTGATATGCGCGGATCTGACATTTTGTTGTCAGATATGCACGGATCTGACTTTCCGCCGTCAAATATGTGCGCATCTGACATTTCGCCGTCTGATATGCGCAGATTTGACATTTCGCCGTCAGATATGCGCGTATGTGACATTCCGACGTCAGATCAGATGGCAGGAAGGGGGGGGGAGGGGGGGGGGGGGGCAAATACAATGTCTGCCATGTGTGACTACACTGAATGTAGTCCTGGGGTGAACATGAATGTGCTTGCCACGAACACGTCTGTGTTCACCTGCATCAGCAAGGTGTTCGCCTTCACAGGCCAACGGCGAACACCTTTCTTTGCTATAGGTGTTCGTGCTGGGGCGAACGTGAACAGGTTGTCATCTTCTACAGCCAGGTATGTCTATGTGCCCCTGTGTTTGTGTCGAGTTTGGCTGTATATCAACCACGGAGCGAAGACTTTGGACGGAGGCCGAGCATGTCAGCAGAGGGTCGAATGACATTTTTTTTTGTGCTTTGAACCGTCTCAAAACTCAAGTCCGTCGGAATGTCAGATACACGTATATCTGATGGCGAAATGTCAGATCCGCGCATATCTGACGGCGAAATGTTTGATTCGCGCATACCTGACGGCGAAATGTCAGATCCGCGCATATTTGATAGCGAAATGTCAGATCCGCTCATATCAGACGGCAGAATGTCAGATCCGCGCATATCTGACGGCGAAATGTCAGGTCGCGAAGTGTCTGAGCTAAAAAAATGAGCTCATAACACGAAGTTGCGCGACCTAAAAACTGGTCGCGGGACAATTCGTCGACGAACACATTAGTGTTTCTCGAAACCTCATGTCGAACACGAACACGTTCGTATTCGATGCGGCTCGGCAGCAGTAGCGAGGCTAACACCGAACACGTTCGCCACAAACAATTTTAGCCAAAAAAAATACTGTTCGTTTCCTTGCTCAAGCCTACCTTCACCTTCCCCCCTTTTTTTCCTTTGTCTCCCCCTGTCCCATCTTCTCTTCTCCTTCAACTCCCGCTCTGTCCATCTTCCCCTGGCTCACATCTTTTCCTCCTCTGTTTATCTTCCTTCTCATATAGAAAGTGTATAACTCCTTGGTTCGCCTGCTGCCCTTGCACTCAACCTTCTTCTCACCCCTCCCTTTCTTTTCCTTTGTCTCCCCCATTGCTCGATCTTCCCCCCTCCTCCTCTTCTCCTCTGTTGATCCTCCTCATATCGAGTGCGCAGAACTCCTTGATTCGCCTGCTGCCCACGCGCTCAACCTCACCTGGATACGTCTGGAAGGTGCGCGTCGTATCTTATCGTATCGTATCGTATCGTATCGTATCGTATCGTATCGTATCGTATCGTATCGTATCGTATCGTTTGCTTCATGCATGTGGAGCCTGAATATGAAGCCTAACCCAACCCAACCCAAGCCCAACCAACCTAACCCAACCCAATGTATGTGCATTTGTCCTGAAGACAAGCTTTTGTGTCCTTTGAGGCTCAACCCGAAGCTTCTTCCCGTCCTTTCTTCCTTCTCTCGAACCCCATCAGTTGGTGTGGGAAATGCTTGCTCTCAACATCGTGCACCATGAGGTGGAGACAAGGCAATAACTAACTTGCTGCCTCTCTCCATACCCACATGATTCTTTTCTTCCTCCCTCATTTCATTCCCCACCCCATCAGTCCATGTGGGAACTGCTCGCTCTCAACATCGTGCACCATGAGGTGGAGACAAGGCAATAACTAACTTGCTTCCTCTCCCTCTCTCCTCTCTCAACTGCTTCTTCCCGTCCTTCCCTTCTCCCCACCTTCTCTCCAACCCCATCAGTCGGTGTGGGAGATGCTGGCTCTCAACATCGTTCATCACGAGGTGGAGACAAGGCACGCCGCCCTGCAGGCCATGGCCACTGCTGTAGCCGCTATAGCCGCTGCAGCTGCTACAGCTGCTACAGCCACCGCAGCGCCAGGAACGGCAGCAGCAGCAGCAGAAGCAGAAGCAGCAGAAGTGGCAGCTGTGGCGCGGGCATGTGTGGGAGAGGGGTCGGACAAGGGCCATGAGATGGCTCTGGATGGACTGGCGCATCTGGCTCTGCTCACCAATACCATCATGGCTGCAGGTGAGGGTGGGTGTCTGTAGACAGGGTGTGCTTGCTGGTCTGCAGGTAAAGGCTGGATGGGAGAGAGAGACGTCTCACAGTGGTTCTACAGGGGTCGGACAAGGGCCATGAGATGGCTCTGGATGGGTTGGCGCACCTGGCTCTGCTCACCAACACCATCATGGCTGCAGGTGAGTCATGAGGTGGCAGGTGGGATGCTGGCAAAGGTTCCCTCCAGCTGGTTCAACGAGAGGGCCATGAGATGGCTCTGGATGGGCTGGCGCACCTTTCTCTGCTCACCAACACCATCATGGCTGCAGGTGAGTCATGAGGTGGCAGGTGGGATGCTGGCAAAGGTTCCCTCCAGCTGGTTCAACGAGAGGGCCATGAGATGGCTCTGGATGGGCTGGCGCACCTGGCTTTGCTCACCAACACCATCATGGCTGCAGGTAGGCGTGTGTCTGTCTGTCTGTCTGTGGATGGGGTATCTCAAGTCACAAGTACAGCTTGGTATTGACATGTAGGGCTCTGTAAGGGGTCCGAGAACAAGGGGCATGAGATGGATGGTGTGTCTCTGTCGTGGATGGTGTGTGTCTGTGTGTGGATAGGGTATGACAAGGGGCATGTAAGCCTCTGTAATGATTTGACAGCAAGGGCCATGAGATGGCTCTGGATGGACTGGCGCACCTGGCTTTGCTCACCAACACCATCATGGCTGCAGGTGGGTGGCTGTCTGTCTGTCTGTCTGTAAGCAGGAGTCTGTTCAAGAGGCTGCGTCTTGAATCGACTCAAAACGCATTTTCCCCTCCCCTCTCCCTTGCCCCATTGTCAGCCCCGGTGGTGGATCACCATTGTACGAGCCTGTTCAAGTGGTTGCATCTTGAACCGGAGGAAGACGACGAGAAGGACAGGGCAGGTAACAGCAGGAGAGCGGGAAGAGGAGGGCGTGGGGGGGGCAGCGGGAGCAAGGGACAACCCAGGGCGGGGAATGATGGGAAAGAGGGGAACGGGGCGAAACAGAGGAAAGAAGGGAAAGAGGGACAAGAATCTGAAAAATCTGTGGCACAAGAGATTGGGAGTAAGATTGACGAGGATGAGGAGATGGGAGTTCAAGAGGAGGAGCGGGAGGGAGAGAAGGTGGGGTGTGAAGAAGGAGAGGAGGGAAGTGGTGGGTTTGAGTGGGAGGGGGTGCAAGAGGGAACAGGGGCGATTGGCAGTGGAGGACAAAGGTCGGCAGAGGCATCCGCTCTGCTGGCTGTGCCCGTGAGTGTTCGAGAGGCTATGGTTCGATTTGGTGGGATGGAGGGGGCGGGAGAGGAGGGGACGGCGGGCGGAGGGCGAGGAGGCAGGAGAGGAGGAAGAGGAGGAGGAGGAGGAATAGGAGGGGGGAGGAGAGGAGGACGGATGATGTTTCCTATGCATGGTCTCAGGGGTAGTAGTGGGGAGGATGAGAGTGAGGAGGAGGAGGACGAAGAGGAGGAGGATGAATGGGAAGAAGTGGAGGAGAGTGAGGAGGAAGGAGATGAGGAGGAGGAGGACGAGGAGGAGGAGGAGGAGTGGGAAGAGGCAGAAGAAGGGGGAGAGGCAGAGAATGAGGAGGGTGCAACTACTACTGCTACTACTGATAGTGCTGCTACTGGTATTGACGCTGGTACTGTTACTGGTGATACATCAGAGGGGTTTGTGCTGGTTGATGCCTCTGTTGCAGCCCCCACACCAGCTCCTCCTGCTGCTACTGCTGATGTTGCAGATCCTCCTGCTGCTGCTGCTCTTCCTGCTGCTCCTGCTCCTCCCGACGCTGCTGCTGCTCCCCCTGCTGCTACTGCTGCTGCTGCTGAAGATACACAGGTGCAGGACGGAAGGACAGGGCAAGCAGCAACCACCACAGCCGCAGCAGCACCAGCAGACGCAGTAGCAACAACGGGTGGTGTTACAGCAAGATTGGCAGCAGCAGCAACAGCAAGAGCAGCAGCGAGATTAGGCAGAGCAAGAGCAGCAGGCGGGGCAGGAGCAAGGGGAGGAGGAGTAGCGTTGGCAAGAAGAGGAGGAGCAAGGGGAGGCGGCAGGGCAGCAAGGGGAGGACAGGGAGCAAGGGAGGCAAGAGTGGCGAGAGGGGCAAGAGGGGCAAGAGGGGCAAGAGGAGCAGGGCCAGTAGGTCTGGGTGGGTTAGAAATTCCCCCAGAGCTGCTGCATGAACTGATGGCGGAGGGAATCACACTTGCTGAGATGATGGCTGATTTGCGAGAGCTAGAGGAAGAGTTTGGTGCGGAAGATGAGGAGGAAGAGGAGGAGGAGGAGGAGGATAGGGTGGACCTGGGCACGGATGCGAGTTGGAGTGTGCTGCTGGGTTTGCTGTCTCGGCCGGTTGTTGCTGCTGACCCCTTCGCTGTTCTGCTCTCGCTCATTCAGGTAAATGCGTCTGTTGAACTGAGTTGCTTCTTGCTTTTCAGTCGCTTTTGAGAGTTCTCAAAAGTGGATCGGGTGGAGCTGGGCACGGATGCGAGTTGGGGTGTGCTGCTGGGGCTGCTGTCTCGGCCTGTTGTCGCTGCAGATCCTTTCGCTGTTCTGCTCTCGCTCATTCAGGTAAACGTGTCTGTTAAACTGAGTCACTTTTGAGAATTCCCATAAGGTATCAGGTGGACATGCGCGCGCATGGATCCTAGCTGGTTTTTGAGTCGACTCAAACACGGAGGATCGGGTGGACCTGGGCACAGATGCGAGTTGGAGTGTGCTGTTGGGGCTGCTGTCTCGGCCGGTTGTTGCTGCTGACCCTTTTGCTGTTCTGCTCTCGCTCATTCAGGTAAAGGATCTGTGGGTAATGAGTCTTTTTTTTCAGTCTGACTAAACAGGTAGCATGTACCTTTTCCCCTGACCAGGTCCTGTAGTAGCATTGCATTCATTCCCGTTTAGCCAGAGTGGAAAAGGGTGAGTGTTCCAAGTAACAGCTAAGCACTTCTCAACTAAGCATTTGTCTCTCCTCTTCTCTCCTTTCCTCTCCTCTCCTCTCCCTCTTCCCGCCAATTTCTTGACCCAACCATCAATCGCACTACAGTCCAAGCAACCCCGCCCCTCTGCTGCCACGACACAAGCCATCCTCCTTGTCTCTTTCTGTGTGGCCGTCACACAATCCCTCGCCGCCCTCCAGCCCTCCTCCCGCCTCCGCCCCTCCTCCCTCTCCTCCTCCACTCCCTCCTCCCGAGCCTCGGCCTCCTCCTCCCGTACCTCTGTTCCTTTCCTGGGGATGTTTCTCCGACCCACCCCTGTTTCTGCTGCCGATGCCGCCGCCGCTGCTGCCGCTGCTGCTTCCGAACCTGCCGGCAAGGAGTGGGCTGAGTGGGGTGTCCTGGCCTGCTGCTTGCCGTACCTTCGCCGAGCCTACATCCTGGTGCGTTGTCATTTTTATTGGTGCAAAGAATACCGCACCCCCATTGTGTCTGCACATTCTCTTCAAAACATGGACTCTTCTCTTCCCCGCCCACGTGCTCAAAACAGTCACCTTCAAGCATGGTTCGTTGAGTTGATAGAGGCGTTTCACAATCTAGTTTAAATTGACACTCGTTTTCCTATTATCTCTTCTCCACTTTACTCCCTCTCTCCCCTCTGCTCCATTTTTCTGGCTATCTCCCTTCCTTGAAACCCTGTACTCTTTATAAACAGATTCACTATCTTGGCATAATGCCGCTCAGAGAGCCCCCACTTGTGGATCACCGCGTTAACACAATTAAAAATCTGAGTAAGATCTGCCGCGTGTGAAATGTCTAGAGACGTCTCAACGCCCATATTGCGCAGTGCTCTGCTCTGCTCGCCCTCAAACCCCTACTTTTGCTGCCTGAAAGCCTACAAGTCTGCTTGCTTCACTTCCCCTCTGCCTTTCTTGGTCGCCTCTCCCACCTTTTACTAAATTGCCTTTTGTGAATTATCTAAACTCAACAAGTTTTTCTTGCCTCACGTCCCCTCTGCCTTCTTCCTTGCTTGCTCTGCCCTGCCCCGGCAGGCCCACAAGTGCTGCTCGCTGATTGGCTGCGCCGCTCCCTCGCCCTTCCCTCCGTGGCCTCTGTGCTTCGCCTCATGGCCTCTGCCAACAGCGAAGGTGGGGCCTTGCTATGACTCCGTTCGTTCGTACTTTCACTCTTCTGTACTTCTGGTTCCACTTCTGTACTTTTGTATGTGCTCGCTTAAAGGCCCACATCCTTCCTTTGATCCACTTTATCTATCAAATCTCATAGCTAACCTTGCACCTTACTAATTTTGAGGCGCCTCAAAGCTAACCTTGCACCTTACTCCCCTTCTTTTTTGCATCAAGGAACCTCTCGTTGGCCGTTCTTCCTTTCTCCCTCCCGCCCCTCGCCTGTATTCTATCCCCAATTCTCCTTGTGTCTCTGCAGCATCACCCAGTCATGGCACCTCAGCCGCATGTTTGCATCATGGAACCTCCCGTCGCCCGTCCTAATTCTCCCGTTCTCCCTCCGCCCCTCACCCGGATTCTCATCCCCTTTCTCCTCACGTCGTCTCTGCAGCATCGTCCAGCTCCCCGTGGCACCTCAGCTGCACGTTCGCATTGCAACATGGGATCTACCGTCTCCCATCCTAATCCTCCATTTCTTCCTCTGCCCCTCCCACGGGCCCCATCCCCCTTCCTCCTCGTGTCTCTGCAGCATCATCCAGCTCCCCGTGGCAACTCAGCCGCATGTTCGCATTGCAACATGGGATCTACCGTCTCCCATCCTAATCCTCCCTTTCTTCCTCTGCCCCTCCCATGGGCCCCATCCCCCTTCCTCCTCGTGTCTCTGCAGCATCATCCAGCTCCCCTTGGCAACTCAGCCGCATGTTCGCATTGCAACATGGGATCTACCGTCTCCCATCCTAATCCTCCCTTTCTTCCTCTGCCCCTCCCACAGGCCCCATCCCCCTTCCTCCTCGTGTCTCTGCAGCATCATCCAGCTCCCCGTGGCAACTCAGCCGCATGTTCGCATCGTGGAACCTACCATCGGTGAGTGCTCACACCGTGCCACAAACACATCCACCCCATGCCACACCCATGATGCGTTTTTATAAAGCATGTTGCCGAGTTTGACATTCCGAAGCTGGAAGGGGAGAACCGGGTGAAGGAGGAATATGAGGTGTTGGTTGGTGTGGCGTTAGAGTAACATGGCGATCGGAATGGTGTGAAGGGAGCATGAACGTCGGATGTAAAGGGTATGACAACAAGCGGAGAGGGCCAGTTGTGGAGAATCCAGTATCTGACAGCAAAGAGGAAGGAGAAGTACTAAGTGACAAAGCCTTTGAGGACGAAGCCGTTGATTCGGTGGCAATAGGTGGCCAGATTGCAGAGGCCCGGTATTGTCACAAATATTAGAGTGACAGTACATCCTCCGAAATCTGTCACTATAATCCCCCGTGTTGCATGTTTATACGCATGCATGCCTCGATAAACGCATGCATCATGCATGTCAATACACTATATTGATGTTTGTCTCTATATGCACTGTGCATGTCTCCATGCATGCCAATATCCCTCACATCCCCACACATGCAGGATCCACCCCGGCTGGTCAGAGCACCCACCCAGCCATCCTTCCACCCTTTGCCGGAGATTTACCAGGTACCATGATTTACCAGGTACTTTTATTCTGAGACGTCGGAACAGCTACTTTTTGCATGCTCGATTCAAAGTCTGGGCATTTTGTGCATTGTTTGCATCATGGTCTCTAAAGTTGGAGTTCTCCCACCAACTTGACTCAGAAGCTGGTGCTCTTGGTTCTAGTCCGCACTTGGTGATCTCGTGTCATGCCTTTCCTTGCCCCCAGGACCTTCTCCTTTCCACGATGAACAAGGCATGCAGGAACTGCGGCCAGGAACCCCTCAACACTGCTGTCTGCCTGTGCTGTGGCGAGTTGCTCTGCTACCCAACCCTGCATTGTGCATGTAACCCCAATCCTTTCCCGAATCCACTCCCCTCTCTCCCAGGACCTGCTCCTCTCCACAATGAACAAGAAATGCAGGAACTGCGGCCAGGAGCCCCCGAACCCCGCTGTCTGCCTGTGCTGAACCCTCCTCTCCTCCCCTCCCCTCTCTCCCAGGACCTGCTCCTCTCCACAATGAACAAGAAATGCAGGAACTGCGGCCAGGAGCCTCCCAACCCCGCTGTCTGCTGGTGCTGCTGCTGCCCAACCCTGCTTTTTGCGTATACCTTCCCTCCCTCCCAGGACCTTCTTTTGTCAACGATGAACAAGAAATGCAGGAACTGCGGCCAGGAGCCTCCCAACCCCGCTGTCTGCCTGTGCTGTGGCGAGCTGCTCTGCTACCACTCCTCCTGCTGCCACTCGGACGGGCGTGGGGAGTGCTACAGACACGCGCTGAGAGGTGGGTGTTCTTTCTGCCTAGAGATGTGATTGTAAGTAGGTGTGTGCTACAAACGAGCTGCTCTGCTACCACTCCTCCTGCTGCCACTCGGACGGGCGTGGGGAGTGCTACAGACATGCGCTGAGAGGTGCGTGTTTTGTCTTGCCACAGGTTTTTTTGCTGTTCGTTCATGCGTGTTTAGAGATTCTAGGTTCTAGGTTAGTGCTGGGGCACTTGAAAATTCAGTGGGTTTATTCTAAACATTCCCCTTCATCCCCGTTTATCCCTCCATGCAGAGAACGGGGGCACAGGACTCTTCCTGGTGATGAGATCGACACAGCTGGTGCTGATACATGGCGTGCACATATGTGCTGGTCTCTCCATCTACCTCGACTCGCATGGAGAGGTGAGAGGAGATCAGAATCAACTTAGGAAACACAGCTGCTTTTAATACATGGAGTGCACATATGTGCTGGTCTCTCCATCTGTCTTTACTCTCACGATGCCTTTTTTCCACCCCCTTTTCTAGGCCCTGTATGCGTGCCGTTTTCGGCAGATGTTTGCTCACCCAAACTGTTGAATGTCATACCTATCCGCCCAGCCCTTTTTACATGGATGCTGGGAGTGCTCATCATATGCTATTATATTCCTCTTTATTTTGGTGTATTTGCTGATCTCAGGATGACGCGTACATGCGTCGTGGTCGGCCCCTGTACCTTAGCCATTCCCGCCTTGCAGAGGTACGATCTCATCCCCATGTATCTATGCCTGCCTTCTCATCTACATCTGTCTTCTGAGCAACTTCTGAGCAGCTTCTGTAGCTATTTCTCCCCAATTCCCCCAACCTAGTCCGGTCCCATCCTCTCCTTTTCATTGCCATACTACCTTCATGCGTAGCCTCTTGTGTGTATCCTGCATACATGCATATCCCGCGCATGCTTAATGAGTGGTACCATACCCCCCTGCCTGGTGCGCGCAGTTCCTTCACCTGTGGAAAACCGCGTCCATCAGTCATGATAGCCAGATTCTTCACGCCTCTCTGTTTGGCTCAATGATTGGTTGATTGATAGTTGCAATCTTGAGGCATACCTTCGAGTTTCATTCTAGATACTGAGAAACAGCCTAATTGCATCTATTCAGAAGTCCCAAAACGTAAAACAAGAAAAAACGGCATATGCAAGGAACGTTGCTACGTGAGTGTATTTTGTGTTCATGCACTCTCCTGGCTAACACAATAGACTGACCAGGTTCATGGGCCCGAATCCCAAGGTCCTTCCATCTCCGCCCAGTTGGCCGTTTCGTTTCTGTGACGCAAGTTTCCTGCCGTTCGATTCTGCGTCGAAGAAGCGACGATCTGCTGGTAACATTTCGACACCTTGCAAATCTTCGCAAACACTGAGGAAGATGGTCGTGGGAGTGCGTTGAAAACGCACTCATGAAAAGAATCCATTCATAGAACGCATCGTTTCAGGCACCTCCTTGCCGTGTCGACACCTAATCTGAGCACGTACTATTACTTCTTACTATGGCGTCATTGCTCGTAAATATCCCCTGTTGTCATCAGCTTTCGCGTCCGGATAGCGGATCTCTTCATCATGCTCCAATCTCGAGCAGAACCGCGTTTCCGATCAGCAGAAGTCGTTCCGTCAGGATTGACGCAGCAGCGGGTGGATCGGGAAAGGGATTTGGGTCCGGCCCTTCGAACAAGTCGCCGGCTAAATCCAAGGGTAGTAAGTCTTCTGGCGGGGCCAAGAAGTCATCTGGGCCGTCCGTCGCCGTGCCAGAAGATCCAAAGATTACGCGTCTCGTACAGCGATTGGAGGAAAAATCGTCATCCAATCCGTCACCGACACGTGGCCATCCGCTGGTAGACCAGCGCGCAGCAGCAAAAGGCCGAGTAGACTTCGTTAAGGTGGAAGGTTGGGAGGCTGCAGGTTCGGCGGCAGGTTCGGAATTAGGTCCGGACGAAATTGGCAATCTCAAGGTGAAAAGCTTCACCCCCGGCACCACTTCCCAAGGATACGAGGCTCGGGCCGAAGCTGACCAGCAGCCTCGGCAGCAATGGGCAGAAGGGGATCCAGCCGCGCCGCAGGTCGGCCTGTATGAGCGCCTGGTGAGGCACCTGCAGGTTCTCGAGTCGCAGGGGAAGCTCTCTGTTGCGCGCGCGAAGGGGGAGCCGCCGCTGCCGTCGTTCGATCGGTGGAGGTTCGGAGCGAAGAGGTTCGGGCAATACCTAGTCGATCAGATGCACGTGCACGAGGCTCTTGACAAGGCTGTAGTGCAAGCCCTTGGCGGGAAAACCGGCGGGGAGTCTGGCCGCGATGGTGGGGATGATGTGTCAGGAGCCACGAGGGCTTTAAGCTTGGTGGGTCCAGCAATTGGGCTGTCGCGGAGCGAGGCTTTAAAGAGCGATATCGCTGCTCTTTCTAAAGTGTGTACCACCAGGGGGGCAGCAGCGGCAGGATCAGAGGTAGCGGCAGGAGGAGGAGAGGCATCAGCAGCAGAACCAGTAGTACCTGGATCGGCCACCACTGAAACCATAGCCTACGTGCGACTAATCGAGCAACTGGGTCAGAAAGCGTCAGCCTCAGCCAACAACAGCCAGGAGCAGGGCGAGCAGGATCAATCCACCCCTTCTTTCCTTTCCCTCAAATCATCAACCACTGGCAGCAGTGGTGCTGGCTCTGCTGCCATTTCCCCTGCCGACGCTGCTCGGCTCAAGCTCTTCACCCACACGTTCACTCTCCTGGTCACACACCTTACCAACGGCATGCGCATTGGAGCTAAGGCAGTGGAGTGCCTTCCCTCCCTGCGTGCAGCCAAGGCAGTGAGGTTCTTCCAGGCGTATCCCGAGACTGTTGGGGATCCTATGAAGGCGTTTAGGGCTGCTGTGGATGAGGCTGGGAGAGGGATGAGCGAGGGGGAGGTGGAACTGGTGGAGGGTGAACTGGGCCCTGCCATGGTGAAGGCTAGTCTGTTGTTGAAAGTGCTGGCCGTTGAGGAGAGGGAGGCGGCTGTCAGTGCACCCTAGGTTGTGCTTGAAAGCATCGTAGGTTTACTACGGTATTTTGAATCATGCATGATTACAGTACCAACCACCACTGGCATTGGATTGTCATGGAGGATCAGTCCTTCACAGTTCATTCACTAGTATGAGCTGGTGGTACCGTACTATGATGGAAGCAATTGCTGACTTACTGTAGTATCATACACCTAGTCAGAATTTTGCGTACAGATTTCATTACAATATTAGCTGGTCCTTTGTAGTGGCACTTCACCTCACAACTTGAGAAAGAGACAAATGAGATATGAAATCAAGGAATACCAAAGCTGCAAGAGGAGTTGTTTCATTATACAACAGGGGGAAAACTGCTAACAAGGGATACCAAGCACGGAACTTTGTCCAGATTCCTTAATGGCTCTGCTGCGATATCTTGGCGAGCCTCGAAACTCGTTATAAGGAGGCCAGTTTCGCCGCAGTTACAGGCATCAATCGCGAATCAGCCCCGAAATCCTCTCCCGGTATCATAGAGGGCCAGGCGAAAGTGGGGCCTAAGCCGGGCAGCAGGGAAACAGCTGGGCGGGCATTTCAGTAGTAATAGCCGGCGGAGTGCGGTGTCGAGGCGGTGTATGTGGAATCGCTCCGGTCGTCCCTGTAGCTGGCGGTGTCGCGATCCCCGGCTGATGGTTGCGATGATGGGGTGGTTACCGATGGCTGCGAAAAGGAGGCGACGTGAGAAAAGAGGGAAACAATGAAGAGAAACTGAGAGACGGAAAAAGAGCAGCAACAGAGTCGGGACAAGGGTGGAAGACACGTAAAAGGGAAAAAAGCGCACTCCAAGCAACCTAAAATATAAGAACGCGACGAGAAATTAACAACGCGAAGACTGTCGCTGCTCAGAGATAGCGCTTGACTCTTTAAGTTCTGCTACTAAAAGAACCAACAGGGTAAACCCATCCTCTACACTTGGGGGCCCCTGCTGTCGTCGCTACGAAACTCTGGGGGAGTCGACTATGCCTCACTCCCTCCCACTCGATCGATTCGACTGAACGACATGCGTGGCCAGTTCCGCTTGATCAACCGCGCATTACGACTACGGATTTCCCCACCTCATCAACTAAGGACGGATCCAAACCTCCGCTTCTACACCCAGCGGCTGGAGTCGCGTACAACAATGTCTAATTATTCCCGTGGCCGTTAGCTTACGTCGTATCGTGGCGTCTCCTCCTCCTCGTAATATTCGCCAGGCTGCTCCACGTCATGGTCCGCCTGGCTCTGCCAGTCTCCGCCTTCCTCGCCGTGATTCGCGCCGTCATCCTCGGGATTCCGCTCGTAGTATAGCTCGTCCCCGTCTTCTGGATAGCCTTCTTTGGATTTATCCTCGAGCTTGTTTAGCCGTTGGGCGGCAACTATCATTGCGTACTCGCCCATGTCCATGACCTCGATCCGTTTGTAGCCGCCCGGGAAGTAGCAGAAGTGCATCCAGAGGAACGCGAGTATAGTGAACGCTATACACACTATGATCGTAATAAACGACCACACGGAATCCCCATTATCAAACATCTTGACAAGATAACAAAAAGAAAGATAACTTTCGGCCGGTTTGCACCTGAACCTAAGACGGATGCTTGCTAACTACTACAGCTCACTACGTCTTTAAAAACCGCTGGTACCTATCACGGTGTTCTATGAAACCTCCTTGCCCTCCTGTCGCAGTGCACGGGAACAACTGTCGCACTCTAGCGGTTCAGGCGGAATTGTTCTAGGACGCACCTCATTCAACTGGGAAACTCGTTTGAGAGAAGGGAAGGGAATCAGAACACGCTAGGACCAAAACACAGGTGGCGAGGACGATGGCCCAGACGGAGGTCTCTCTTAGCTGGAGGAAGAAAGGGTGGCAAATGGGTCTCTGGGGCGTTGACGAGGGTTGGGTGCGGTTGGAGACGTTTAGCTGATGCTGTTGTTCATTTCAAACTGCTCCGTTTTTCCCTAGAGGATCACGTCAGACTGCCCGTTGCCCAAACTTCCCCTGGGTTCGACCTCTCGGTTTGTGGTGTGGTCAGGGTTTGGGTCAGGCGGAACAAAAGAACGTTTCCCTGGGTTGGGAGGGCGGAGAGAAACGAGGGACGTGCAGCTGGGTCACGGACGAGAACTGTATCTGTCGTTTCTCGAGCTTGTATCGAATCTATGCGTCCGTATGCCGAGGAAGAAACACCTGAACAGTTTCTGCCAGCCATATCAACTTTGTCCATACGGAACGACCAAATCGCCTTCTGCACCACTCCGCATTTTTCAGGTGGGATTTCTGTTGGCGGGACCGTCCAACTCACGCGAAAAGGACAAGTTTGCGACTCGCCACAGTGGAGGCTCTGGTCGGGTTGATTTGGACTATGCTGTACATGTCTCGCACCCCCATATTCGATTGAAACAAAAATGCGAGGGAAAGTTGTGTGAAGTCGAAAGTTCTCTACACCTTCACAAGAGTCAAGGACATAAAAATTGACCCTTTCAAACCCATTTACAGGTGGTTATGGATATAAGGGAAAATGCTATCAGCATAGAAGGCACAGTAGGTGACTAACCTAGTAGTGGATTGTGAAATCAGCAGAGATGAACGCATAGAAGGCCAGTCTGTCAATGTTGCATACTAGAATAATGCAGCCGATACATTTACCTTCAATGCAATATTGTTATCCCACAACATTTTCATCAACTCAACAAAATTAGTGTCATATGACTAACCTACCTATGGTTGTTGGATAGTGGAGACTTGGGACCATTGCCCATCTGCAGCCTCCTTCCAGAGAGACACATTGTTATTTGCATCTGATACAGCAAGGATGTTTCCAGTCAGCGACCAGCTGACCCTCCACACAGGCACCTTGAAGTCCTGCAGCAGCAGGGGTTTCCATGGGTCCGACTCGCTCGTCTGGGTCCATATCAGTACAGTACCATCCTGTAGATGTCAGGGATAAAAGAAGGTAAAATACATAAAATACAACTAGATCAGTCAAGGCACAGGCACATGATATGTGGGAAAAGGAAATGTTGAAACACTCACTGTGAAAACAGCCCCGCCCCCCCAAGGCAGCAAGATCAGCACAATTGTAACTTTGCTCCCCAAGTCAGACCCACCTGTGAAGCACTAGCGATGGTACTCTTCGGCAGGCCCAGGTTCGGCGCCCAAGCCACATCCCGAACCCAATCCGTGTGCTTCGCCAAACCGGGCGGTGCGCCATCCAACCTCCACCCTCCCCCTCCCTCGCTCGAATACCGCCAAATCTTCACCATGTTATCACACCCGCCCGACACAAACCGCAGCACCGGATTCGGACCCGACCCCAGGAAGCTTCCTGGAACCGTGGCAGGAGCCCAGGAAACAGAGGTAACCCCCACAGGATGGGCTTGGGGGATACGAGAAACATCCCAGCCGCCGTCGGCGCGGTGGGTTAGGATGGAGATGGAGCCATCAGAGGAGGCGCATGCGAGCACCAGCCCATACTCGTGAGGCGCCCAGCTAATGCTGTTCACCGACCCCTCGTGGTCTGAAAACACCTGCGCCTGAGGTGTTAAATTCACGAGAACCGAAGCCAAACAGGGAAGGGGAGATGAAAGAGCGCAGGGGAAAGCACCAAGAGAATGAGAGGGATTAGGGGATGGGACGAGCAATTTCAGCCCCCGTCAGCGCGGTGGGTGAGGATGGAGATGGAGCCATCAAAGGAGGCGCATGCGAGCACCAGCCCATACTCGTGCAGCGCCCAGCTAATGCTGTTCACCGAGCCTTCATGGTCCGAAAATACCTGCGCCTGGCGTGGGTAGAGGCGGGGGGGAGGGAAGGGGAAAACCAGAAACCATACAGTAAAGCAAGGGGATGTAGAAGAGTGGAGGTGAAAGCACCCAAGGGAGTGAGAAGAAGAGGGATTGAGGGATCTGAAAGACATCCCAGCCGCCATCGGCGCGGTGGGTGAGGATGGAGATGGAGCCATCAGACGAGGCGCATGCGAGCACCAGTCCATACTCGTGCGGCGCCCAGCTGATGCTGTTCACCGAGCCTTCATGGTCTGAAAACACCTGCGCCTGTAATGGTAAAAGAGTGCAGGGGAAAGCAGGAAGGAGCGCTCAGGGTAAGGAGAAAAGGAATTGGGGGACGCGGGAGGAAGGCATTCCAGCCGCTGATGGAATGGTGAGTGAGGATGGAGATGGAGCCATCAGAGGAGGCACAAGGGGACCACGACTAAAGAGTGTCTCTCATCAGTAGGTTTCATGATTTCCCATTGGTTCCTGAATTGCTTTATTAGAGCTTATAATTATTCAGTGGTTTAGGGGCGGGTTGTCACAGGCTCATCCTTAACCACTCCCACACAACATATGCCGCAGTTTTTCTCAGAGCGACTGATTTACACCCACGGTGTTGCTTCTAATCCACAGACGCACCATCATTCACTCACGAACCTCCATCCACTAACGCACCTTGATTCACCAACACAGCTTGATCCACTGTTTTTTCGCTAGTTTATTATTATTTTTTTTTCCAGGTGATCACTCTGCGGTCGTACGAGCACGACGCGAGGAGGGAGCCGAATTTAGGCTGCGCCCAGGCCACCGGCGCACCTTAATCCATTCACAGACCTCTACCCACTACTACACCTCAACGCACTACCGCAACTTGATCCACTAACGTACCTTGATCCACTGGTTCTCGCTCGTTTCTTTCCAGATGATCACTTTGCGGTCGTACGAGCACGATGCGAGGATGGACCCGAATTTAGGGTGTGCCCAGGCCACTTGCCAAACCGGACCCTCGTGTCCTGCGGGGAGACGGAACCAATGGGAGCGTAATTTGAGGATATCAAAATCCGAATTTAGGGTGAGCCCACACCACCAGCCGAAGCGGACCCTCGTGTCCTGCGGGGAGACGGAACCAATGGGAACTACAATACTGATCATGGTTTCGAATGCGAATAGCGGCACTTTGAAAATCGGCACTAAAGAGCAAACGATTGTGAACTACGCCGCCAATATGCGGATGAAAGCGAACAGTAGTGGTAGAGGCGACGAGATTCAATTATGCGTTTGAGACTGACCAATCAGATCCGCGAGATGCGAGTGGTGGTCGCCTGCGACGGAGAAGATGCGAATCGAGCGATCGGACGACGCCGTCGCCAGTCGCTTGCCATAGTAGTCCATCTGCACGTCGTGAATCGCGTCGGCATGGCCCGACTCGATGATCTGCGTCCCCGCTGTCGCCATCGCGCCGACGCTGCTAAGTTCTAACCAGCCAGGTGTAATTATAGGAGGTAAGTTGAAAAGGGAAAGCTTTGGTACTGATCAAGCTTGATTTAATCGACAACCGTCGGATTTTGATCCAGGCGATGTCGACGAATGTGTTCGACGGTGAGGGGAATTACGTTACGACTGCCTCGCGCGATTATTACTGCCGAAACGTCGCCTAGCGACAAATCTGGTCACGGATTTCAGGTGTCAGAAATTAGGTATGTGAGATTTGAACGCGGCACTTTCCATACTGCGAACTCGGAACAAGGGCACATTTTACGCATTCACACTACACCACTTCTTTTTTACGATATATTGATGTTCAAAGCAGAAGCAGATTGCTCCTCGTAAATTCTTGAAATGGGAAAATGAAACACACAACAAAACATATGGTACATTGGTACATAGTACATCGCACTACACCCTGTACGCGAGTCTCACTTTCCCTTGCCATAGAAGGGTACGGCCCCCGTCACCTGGGTCAGAAGGGGCTTCTCCAGAGACCCGTCCGCAGGGCAGTTTCCTGGCGTTTGGGTCTGCCTTTTAGGGCGTGTTCCTGGACCTCGTGTGAAGCTGCGTTTGTGTCAACCTAGAATCTTGGAACGCATGCGATTGGTTTAAAAGGTACAACTGGCCAATCAGGTGCGCTCCATAGTTATGGGTTGACACCAGTTGTTCTTGACACAAAGTTAGGAATACGTCATGGGGTTTCCGAAATATTTCCCCATTACCGAGTAGCAGTTGTTGTGGTCTGACCAGGAATGGTCGGACCAGAGAGCCAGTCAGAAAGCCAGCGCCGGTCGGACCGCTGGCGTTGCGTCCAGGGTCTTGGCTACTTCGCTTCACTTGGCTGCTTTGCGTCGAAGGACTCTAGTTGCGTCCCCATGACTCTACCTTGCGTCCCCGAGACTCCACGCAGCCATCGCAGAGGGCAGGCATGGCCACTCCCATCGCGTCAGTGCGCTTTGGGAGGCGACTCAATAAGTAGGAGCGGCTCCTGGCGTGAATCTCAGAAGCCTGCCCGATTCTTACCTGGTTGTAGCGACTGCCTTCGCATCTCACACAAAAAGGGGCTGTCTCTCAGCCAGTCTCCCACGTCTCATTGACTCCCACGTCTCATTGGCTCCCACGTCTCATTTTGCTTCTCATTCCGCTAGTAGTACGTGACATATGGTTTCCTGCGGTGACATATTTCGAGTCTTGCTGACCAATTTCTTGCAAGATTCCGAATCCCCTCCGCTTTCGACTCCGCTCCTCCGCTCGTCAACTTCCATGGCGGCCCGGGACGGGAGTAGCCCCGAGCTTCCGTCGTCGTGTTTCTTCGTCGCTTGCATCCCGCAGTCGCAGGTCAGCTTCTGCTCAATCATCCTCACTATGGTGTATCTCATTATCGATAAGCATTGTAATCGAATCTAGCGTTGTAATTTATTATATGTAGTAACGTACTGCGTGTGGATGATTTTGGCAGGTGGGAATATTCGAGAGATGGGGGAGATTCTCCCACGTGGCAGATCCCGGGATGCACTGTTTTAATCCCCTCGCTGGGACTTGGATGGCGGGAAAATTGTCTCTCCGCGTGCAGCAGTTGGACGTGCGCTGCGAAACTAAAACGAAGGTGAAGTGCTGTGTTCCGTCCAATACTGGCGATGAAGGACCATGCAAATTCTTATCGTTGCTAGGTACTCATTCTTTCACATTGTTCCATGTTCGTTCATGATTGCAGGACAATGTGTTTGTGACGGTGGTGTGTTCCGTCCAGTACCGGGTGATGAAGGACCATGCAGACGATGCGTTCTACGAGCTTCAGAACCCTCGCGAGCAGATCCAGTCCTACGTCTTTGATGGTATGCAGGGTTACGTCTTTGAGGCATGACGTCCCAAAAGTTGCTGATTTGAGGCGTCTCAAATTCTGAGTCCTTGCGAGCAGATCCAGTCTTTGATGGTATGCAGTGTAGCAAGGGGTGTGCAAGGGAATGGCTTTGCTGGTCTTGATTTCAGTCTTTGTTGTCATGCACTCTGGGCTTTTTTTCATTTGACGTTTCCTAGTGGACGGTTGTGCAATAGCTGACCCTGTGTACCTGTCTTAATGTGGACATGTACATGCGTGTGCATGTGTATGTGTGTGTGTGTGTGTGTGTGTGTGTGTGTGTGTGTGTGTGTGTGTGTGTGTGTGTGTGTGTGTGTGTGTGCCGCATGCATACATGGTTGTGTGCGTGTGTGGTGGTGGGTGAATGATGCACGTTTTACCCCTGGTGTGGTGTTTGTATCCCGTTACAGTGGTGCGAGCCAGTGTGCCGCGCATAGAGCTGGACCAAGTGTTTGAACAGAAGAACGAGATTGCAAAGAGTGTGGAGGAGGAGCTTGAAAAGGTAATATCAATGCTTGAAAAGGTAATATCAATGCACGAGGTTTCAAGGGGTGTAGATTGCTGGGAGCGGTTGGTCACTTTATGCGTGAACTTTGCTGTGCTGTTGCTACAGGTGATGACAGCGTATGGCTACACCATTCATCAGACCCTCATTGTGGACATTGAGCCTGATGCCTGCTGCTTCGATTATTGCCTGCTGCTCTGCCTCTCCTCATGTGCTGTTGGTACCTGCTGCTCTGCTTCTCATGTGCTGTTGGTACAGGTGATGACAGCGTATGGCTACTCCATTCAGCAAACACTTATCGTGGACATTGAGCCTGACGCCACCGTGCGCAATGCCATGAACGAAATCAACGCTGGTAAAGCCTTTGCGCACTCCCCACTGTCCTGCTTAAGTTATCCGTTTCCTTCCGTGCGAGGCTTACTGCACTTCTGTTTTTGCTTCCTTTCCTCAGTATGGCCTTTTTTTTCTCTCTCTGCGTTGTGTTTCCCTTTCTCGCCTCAATGCGTGAGAGCAGCTCAGCGCATGCGCATGGCAGCGCAGGAGAAGGCAGAGGCTGAGAAGATTCTCCAAGTGAAGCGCGCCGAGGCTGATGCCGAGGCGAAGTACCTCTCTGGTGTTGGTGTGGCTCGGCAGAGGCAGGTTCGTACTGTGGTCGAAGCCAGCTTGCTACGTTCTTCATAAAGCCAGCTGGCTGATTTGTCCCTTTTCTGTTGTTTTGTCATTGCCACACACACACGGTACTCAGCTATTGCTTGATTTACCCTGTCACCCACCCACCCATTGCAGCGTACTGATCCATTTTGTCCTTCATTGTGTCACCCACCCATGCAGGCAATTGTGGACGGACTGAGAGAGAGCGTCCTCGCATTCTCACATGAAGTGGCGGGAACTACACCCAAGGACGTGTTGGATATGGTGCTTGTAACGCAGTACTTTGACACCATGAAGGATATAGGAGCATCGGCCAAGAGCAACACAGTGTTCATTCCGCATGCGCCTTCCCAGATTGCCGACATTTCTGCGCAGATTCGGAATGGGATGCTGCAAGGAAACGTGAAGCAGGAATAGAAGGTTAGGGCGGTGGTGTGTGTAGTGGGTCTGTGGGAACAACACCCAAGGACGTGTTGGATATGGTGCTTGTAACGCAGTACTTTGACACCATGAAGGATATAGGAGCGACGGCCAAGAGCAACACAGTGTTCATTCCGCACGCGCCTTCTCAGATTGCTGACATTTCTGCACAGATTCGGAATGGAATGCTGCAGGGAAGTGTGAAGCAGGAATAGAAGGTCAGGGCGGTGTGTGTAGTGGTTCTGCTGGGTGCAATGCGATGTGTCAGATTGCGATGTGTTACATTTCTACCAGGTACTTTTGGCTGTCGCATGACAGTGTGTCACCTTTAGGCTTGTGAAATGTATCCCTTGCACTTTCAGGTTTCTTGCAATGCCAAAAAAATGGGGGGTGGTTTGGATGGAACGGACTTGCTAAATGATGGAGGGAGATGTCAAATTATACATACCGCACTACACATCTGCAGGCAGCAAAACCTTACTACGGGACCATCTAGAGGACTACTGGACCATCGGCAGCATCATCTGCACCCGACTTAACGTCTTCGGCTGCTACTGTTGATGCATCTGCTGCTACTTTAGGTGCATCTGCAACAGTAAAACTAGTCACTGGGAAACCACCAGCCAGGCCAGTGCCCTTAAAGCCCGCCTCCTCCTTCTGTGTGTCATCCACAACTGGAAGCTCCTCTGACGGAACAAGGCAGGGGAGAGGGAAGAGGGAGGAGAAATTGATTTCACCTGCTACTGTATCTGCGTCTGCTGCTGGAAAACTAGTAACTGGGAAACCACCAGCAAGGCCTGTGCCCTTAAAGCCTGCCTCCTCCTTCTGTGTGTCATCCACAACTGGAAGCTCCTCTGACGGAACAAGGCAGGGGAGAGGGCGGAGGGGGCAGTGGGGAAGGGAATGTGTTGAGGAGAAATCGCGGGGAGGAGAAAGGAAGTGCGCAGCGTTTTGGGGTGACTTGGGTGAGAAACATGAGGTTATGGGGCCTAGGGTGTAAGAGATTAAGAAGAGCTAATAAAAAACCCACCAGCACCCAAACCATCACCAGCTCAAGCTATCTGCCTTCCAGGGAAAAAGTAGAATAAGATCTAGAGTATTTTTGAGAATTCACAAAAACACTCTACATCGCCAAGGGAAAAAGTAGAATAAAATCTAAAAAAAAACCCATCCACCCATTTACCTGCGATGTCTCTGTTCTTGTGCACTTTGGCATCCACCACCCAAAGCCTGGCACCCGTGAACACTCCAGTCTGCACCAGCAACACACCCTCATGGCCCTACGACGCAACGATTTCCAGAGACAAACCCTCCACCCATTTACCTGCAATGTCCCTGTCCTTGTGCAATTTAGTATCCACCACCCAAAGCCGGGCACCCGCAAACACTCCAGCTTGCACCATCGTCAAGCCCTCATGGTCCTCTAAATCAGTAATTTCCTCCGTGCTGAATCCAATGCGCTGGTTCTCAGGAACGACTCCGAGGGTCTCCCAGATCTGCAGCTTCAGCTGGTGCAGAGTAGTTGTGCCTGATACCCTTATTGCCACACGGCTTCCCCCCGTTCGCAGTGGCCGTTTGTACTGCATGCCTTGCAGTAACCCTGTTTTAATTGGTCGAGTGGGATTTGAACTTGAACGAAGAACAGTATCAGTGCCATTGGTAGCAGCAGTAGCACTGGCAGCACCAGCAGCAGTGGCAGCAACAGCACCTGACTCGGCAGCATCAGCAGCACCAGCAGCACCAGTGGCGCCAGTAGCACCAGTGGCGCCACTAGCACCAGTGGCACCAGCATCACCAGCGTTACCAGCAACAACTCTTAAAGGATCAACAGCACCAGCACCAGCACCAGCAGCAGCAGCAGCAGCAGCAGATGCAGCGCCAGCAGGAGCAGAGGATGAAGCAGATGCAAACCGGCGCGACACAGTTAGCGGCGGGAAACCGTACGTGGAAGCAACAACAGAGGGGGGAGGTTCAGACCCCCTCACTAGCTCAACCACTATCTCCTCCTCCCTGTAATCCCCCCTCTGTAACTCCTCCCTCATAGCCCTCTCCTCCTCTGCGATCTCCTCTGGGTTCTTGTAGCAGATGTGACACAAAGAAGGGATGGTTTCTAGGCAGTATGGGGTGGGGAAGGATTGGTCTCTTCTGCTCTTCCCCACAGTAACAGAGGGGTGATTTTGGTTCTTCCCCACAGCGGATTTCTGACTATGTGAGGCGGATTTATGACTCTCTGAGGATTTGGAATCAGGAGCATGGTTGTTGGAGGGAGGATTGGATTTGATTCGCGCGCGGATGGCAGAGCCGGCCGTGCCGCCCCACTGGCTGCTCAGCTCGTCCCATTCGGACCGCGTGACTATAGTGAAGGGTTCCTGGGGCAGGGACGCACAGTGAAGCAAAATGATGCACAGTGAGACGCAGTGAGGTACCAAAAAAAAAAAAAAAAATGGCGAGGGACAGTTGCCACTTTAGAACCAGCATGCAGGGGGAGATGCGATAAGAAGCGATCGCATGCAGTGCGATGCAATGAGGTTAAGTGCGGTAAGATGCGTGCGCTTCATGAAATTCACTCACAGACTCTGAGTTTGCCTGAAGCAGCTCGCCCTTCCTGCTGCTAACCAGTACTGGCAGCGCCGCAACCAGCCCCCCATGCTGCTTGTGCCGCACGGCCCTCAGTGCCCCATCCAAACTGGGAGAACACTTTGAAACGTCTCACAACAGGATAGGGATACCTACCGCCTCAGAGTTCGCCTGAAGCAGCTCGCCCTTCCTGCTGCTAACCAGTACCGGCAGCGCCGCAACCAGCCCCCCATGCTGCTGACAACGCACAGCCCTCAGTGCCCCATCCAGACTGGGAGGAGACTGCTGGCATGCTGCTGCCATTCCTCCACACCCTGCCGCTGCCCCTGCTGTTGCAACAGTCCCTCCGTCACACCCGGAAGCAACTGCAGCTGCGGACTTGGCGGCAAAAGGGGAGGCGGAGAGGGAGGAGCGCCAGAGAGCGACCCAGGAGGAGGGGATGAGCGCGTACGGATACCCAGTGGGCTCTTCTTGCTTTGTGGGCGCTTCAGAAACAGGCTCGTCGTGCTTGGAGGGTGGGGACGGAGAGGAGGGTGGGGAGGGGGAGGAGAGGCGAGGGGAAGTGGTGGGGCCAGAGGGGAGGGAGAGGGGGAGGGGGCGGAGGGAGAAGAGGCGGAGGAACTGCTGGCGCTGCTGCTGCTGCACGAGACTCAGTGCATCGGCCTGCTCTGCTGCCTCTGCTGCTGCTGCCACGCACACAGCACACTCTGCAGTAGAAGCTGGGAACTCCAACGTCCGACTGGGAATCACAGACGTTGTAATCACAGCTACTGTTTTCGTCGCACCCTTTGCTTCTGTCATTACTTCTTCCTTTTCTTCCTTGACCTCTGTGATTGCTGCTTGCTTGGTGTCTGCTCCCTTGCTCGCTAGAGACTTGCCCTCTTCCTTACCCGTACACTGCTCCCCTTCACTCAAACTTTCCTCCTTCCTCAAACTCTTATCCCCCTCTTGCACACTCTCGCTCTCCTCCCGTGCTCTCTCCTCGGCCTCTCTCACCCTCTCCTCCTCTCCTCTCCTCCTCCCCTCCTCCGCCCACCGTTTCAGCCACCCCCACACCTCCCTGCTCACAACTGCTCTCCTCCCCTCCCCTGCTCTACCCTCCGGCGTCAACCCCTGATGCGGACAAATGATACCGCCCAGGGGGTTGCTGTCAGCCATGGTAGGGGCGTCAGCTTTTGTCCTTCTCGGCCAGTTGTTCAGCCTAAAAGAGGGGAGAGTGGGGGAAGGAGGAAGGAGTGGGGAGGAGGGAGGGGGGGGGGGGGGTGTTCTGAAGGTGCCTTTTCCATCGGAATTGGGGGAGGTGGATTGCGGGTGCAAACATTTAGGAACTCACCATGGTTTAGACACGTAGTATCCTGGCCCATTTATGCCCCTTCCTTTGAGATTGCTTGATGCACAATCACCATGTATTCACATGCACTCACCAGGGTTTAGACACGTAAAATCCTGGCCCATCTGTGCCCCTTCCTTTGATGTTTTCTTCCACCAGCAGTCGCACACGCGCCCTCTGCTCCCTGTAGCTCCCCGCACTCACTGTTGCCAGCGCCTCTGCACGCCTCTGAACAGAATTCACCTGAACGCTACGTCTGTAGACCACCCACCACCACGCCGTAGATACATGGGCACTCACCATGGCTTGGAGACATAGTATCCTGGCTGTGAGAACAATAGTTTGAAGAGAAGTTGATGATTGAATTGAGGAGATTGGGGGTTTACATAGGGAGTGGGTTGGATCCTAGCCTAGGTGAGCATTATTGGACCCCAACCAAGAAGTTGGGTTGGGGGATTATTGGTGGGGTCCAATAATGTTGGCCAAGTTGGAGTTGGGCCAACATTATTGGAGTGAACCAATAAGCCTACCCAACCCAACCTTTGGGGTCCAATAATTGGACCAAGGTTGGGTTTCCAACCTACAAACTGGGTGACCCTTGTTTGTACACCCAAACTGAGTTTGGGTGCTTAACTCTAGCCTAACCTATAACATCTATGCAGGTTACACAAGAAGATAGATTCTAACACAACCCCTTAACCTGCAGAGATGCGGAAAGGCTTGAGTGAAGCAACCCCTGAATCAAGGCGCGCCTGGGGGAGCGAGGCCGATGAGGCGGAGAAGAGCAGAGTGCGCAGGGCGAAGGAGTGCTTTGGTGAAGATATCTGCCAAGTTGGCTTCAGCGGCGATCTTACGAACGGCAATGAGATTCTGTTGGACGAGTTCACGGATGAAGAAATAGCGGAGCTCAATGTGTTTGGAGCGACCGTGGAACACGGGGTCTTGGGTGAGATGGATGGTGCTGGCATTGTCACACCAGAGCGTGGGGCAGCGCTGGGGAACACCAAGCTCAGCCAGGAGGAAGCAGAGCCAGCGGGACTCCTGGGCGGCCATGGTGCCAGCATAGAGCTCAGCTTCACAGGAGGAGAGGGCGATGGCAGAGGAGCGGGTAGAGCGCCAGCTGATGAGGCCGCTGCCGAGGGTGAAGCCATAGCCTTGGGAGGAGCGGCGGTCTGGCTGGCAGTCTGCCCAGGAGGAGTCGCTGAAGCCAGAGAGAAGGGGGGGGGAAGATCCACCCAGCGTGAGAGCGTGGTCTCTGGTGCCACGGAGATAGCGGAGGACCCGCTTGGCGGCAGTCCAGTGTTCCTCAGTGTGGCGGCCGGGGCCGACGAACCGAGCAAGGACACTGACAGGGTAGGCGAGGTCGGGACGAGTGCACATCATCGCGTACATCAGCGACCCAACAAGCTCGGCGTAGGGCCGGGAGGAGGTGGAGGGGGAGGTGGGTGGCGCAAGCTGGTGACCGAAGGGGAGGGGTGTGGAGACTGGTTTGGCTTGTGCCATTTCGAACTTCTCCAGGACCTGTCCGATGTAGTGGGACTGGGAGAGGGTGATGGTGCGGGCGGATCGATCACGGGTGATAGCCATGCCGAGGTAGTTCTGAAGCGGACCAAGGTCCTTGCACTTGAGACGTTCCTGAAGTGACCGCTTCACATGATCCATGTCAGCCCTGGTGTCGGCGAGCAGGATCATGTCGTCGACGTAGACGGAGATGAAGAAGCGACTGGGGGAGGAGCGGATGAAGAGGCTGGCATCGGAGTGGGAGGGGGAGAAGCCAAGGGACTGGAGAGTAGCAGACAGCTTCGCATGCCATTCTCGTGGTGCCTGCTTCAGGCCGTAAACCGGGCGCTTTAGTTGCCAGACGGTGTTTTCGGGGAAAGCCGCATGAAACCCAGGAGGTCGGCGGAGGAAGATGCGCTCGTGCAGTTCGCCTTGCAGGAACGCGTTGGAGACGTCCATGGAGTCAATCTCCATGTCGTCACGCGCACCGATGTCCATAAGGGTGCGTAGGGTGGCTTGCCTGAGGGTGGGGGCAAATGTGAACCAGTAGTCCTCAGCCCAGGTCTGGGTGAACCCCTTGGCAACATAGCGGGCTTTGTAGACTGGCTCCTCTCCCGGCAGCTGTTTGACTCGAAAGATCCACTTGCCCTCGACAAGGTTGGCGTCAGGGGGAAGGGGAACGTCGATAAAGGAGTCGTTGCGAATGAAAGCCTCACACTCCAGGAAGATAGCGGCTAACCACTTGTCAGCGTCAGGGCAGGTGATAGCCTCCTGGAAGGTGGTGGGGACGAAGATGGAAGGAGCGGAGATCGCGCTAAGGATCAGAGCGCCGAAGAGGTCAGGGTAAAGTGTGAAGATAGAGGGAGTGTGGTGCCGGACCATGGCGAACTCCTCATGGGAATCCTCGAGCTGGTGGAGGGAGGAAGGTGGCGGTGTGCCAAGGATGGGATCAAGAGAGCGGGTGTGCATGCGAGGGAGGAGGAAGGGTGAGGAGCGGGCAGACGCCCTCCGCCGCTGCTGCTGCTGCTGCTGCTGGACCCCCTGTTGCTGCTGCGGCCGCTGCTGCGGCTGTTGTTGCTGCTGCTGCGGCTGCCCCTGTGGTTGTTGCGGCGGCCACTGCTGCTGCGGCTGCCCCTGTGGTTGTTGCGGCGGCCACTGCTGCTGCCCCTGCTGCTGCTGGTGCGGCTGCTGCTGCGGCTGCCCCTGCTGCTGCTGCTGCTGTGGCTGCTGCTGCTGCCCCTGCGGCTGCTGCTGCGGCTGCCCCTGCTGCTGCTGCTGCTGTGGCTGCTGCTGCTGCCCCTGCGGCTGCTGCTGCGGCTGCTGCTGCTGCTGCTGCTGTGGCTGCTGCTGCTGCCCCTGCGGCTGCTGCTGCGGCTGCTGCTGCTGCTGCTGCTGCCCCTGTGGCTGCTGCTGCGGCTGTTGGGATGGATGAGAAGGAGAGTAGGAAGGAGAGGAGGGAGAGGGAGCCGCGGAGTGTGCAGGGGATGCTGGAGCAGTGGGATCATAGATATCGGCAGATGAGGGTGGCGGAAGCGGAGTGGGGAGGGGTGGGAGAAGGGGTGCTGGAGGGAGGAGGGGAGGGAGGACGGTGTCGGCCCAAGCGAGAGGACGGGTGGGAGGAGGGAGGGGGTCTGGTGGTGGAGAGGAATAATATGGGGTGGTCTCATCAAACACAACGTCAATGCTGCGGATGAGGCGACCGGAGGGAGGGTGAAGGAAAAGGTAACCGGGCGAGTCGCGGTTGTGGCCGAGGTAGACACACTCGAGGGCACGAGAAGCGAGCTTGCCGTGGGTGCGTTCAGGTGGAGGGATGAGCACATATGCCTTGCAACCCCAGACACGGAGTCCGGCAGCGTCAGGTTTGGTCCCTGACCAGAGCTCCGTGGGGGTAGTGGCGGTGTGGCAGGGATGGGAGCGAAGGTTGAGGAGGAGGGTAGCATGAAGGAGTGCATAGCCCCAAAGAGAAGGAGGGGTGGAGGCGTGAGCGAGGAGACAGCGGGCGATCTTAGTGATTTCGCGAATGCGGCTCTCTGCGACGCCGTTCTGCTGTGGGGAGTGGGGAAGAGTGTGGGTCTGTTGGATGCCATGAGTGGTGCAGTAGTGAGTGAGTGAGCGATTGAGGAATTCGCCTCCCCCATCAGAGTGGAGGCGGCCGATGGGACGTTTGAAGTGGGTGCGGCATTGTTCTGCCCAGTGAATGATCATGGTCGGCGCCTGGGCTTTCGTGTGGAGGAGGAAAACGGAGGAGTAGCGGCTGTGATCGTCAACCAGAACCAGCATGTAGCGATGGCCTTGGCGGGAGCGGGTGGGAGAGGGCCCCCAAAGGTCCATATGGACAAGGTCAATTGGTGCAGGAGCAAAGGATGGGTGGCTGTGGTGAGGAGATTGTTTGAGTTTGCCGTGGATGCAGGAGGGGCATGGGGGGGCCGGAGAGGAGGGAAGGGGAGGAAGGGTGGGAGGGAGGCTGTGAAGGAGTCGTGAGGTGACAGCAGTGCGGAGAGCGGCGAAATTGGGATGGCCGAGGCGGTGATGTAGGAGAACTGCGGGGTGGGAGAGATGGTCGGAGGTGGAGGGGATTGGAACGAGGGAGGGCGGGATGAAGGAGTGGGGGGATGGTGGAGTGGGGGGGGAGGGAGGGAGATGGGGAGGGCTAGTGGAGGTACCCGCACGAGTGGTGACATGACAGGAGGGTGGCCACGGAGTGCGGAGAGTGTAGAGGCGAGTGCGGGGGCAGAGGGGTATGCGGAGGAGGAAGCGGCCGGAGGCAGTGTGGTAAAGGTCACAGTAGGTGGCATTACCAGGGTAGACCGCAGTGATACCTGCACTTTGTATTTCACGGTGGGAGAGGAGGTTGTTTCGGAGAGTGGGGATGTGGAGACCAGTTACCTTACCAGAGGGGAAGAGTGAGCAGGGGAGAGTGGAGAGGTGTGTGCATGGAATAGTGAAGCTGCTGTCAGCGCCGTGAACCTGAGTGGGAGGAGAGAGGGGTGTGAGTGTACCAGCGTCTTTGAGAGCAGTTTCAGTGGCCCCACTGTCCAGGACAAAGTCCAGAGTGGGTGAGGAGGAGGAAGGCACGGAGTACTGGAAAGTGGTTTCATTAATGGTGGACGGGTACATGGAAGGAAGAGAGGGTGAGATAGCAATGTTGCCAAGAAAGTTCTCCTGAGTGAGAGGGGTGGCAGTGCCACTGGGGGGGGTGGAGTACCCCAAAGGGGAGCCGGTGAGGCCTGAGCGGCCATGGCTGCGGTGCCGAAGTTTAGCTGCTGCTGCTGCCAGGGAGGAGGGCTAGGTCCCCACTGGGGCTGGGGTCCTGATCCCCATGGGTGCTGCTGCGGCTGCGGCTGCTGCTGCTGCTGCGGCTGTGGATAAAACAGCTGCTGTAGTTGCTGGTGCTGCTGCTGCTGCTGCTGCTGCTGCTGCTGCTGCTGCTGCTGCTGCTGTAGGAGGTGCTGCTGCTGGAGGTTGAGAAAAGGTGTGGGGGGAGCAAGGAGGCGGAGGTGGGCAGGGAGGTAAGCGGGGCTGGTTTGGATGTCGGTGGGGGAGGGACGTGGGGAGATCGTTCCCCACTTTGGAGGATTGCCAACGTTACCTCGTGCGTACCAAGCATCATCGAGGGCCTTGAAGCAGGTGGCAGGGGGATGGTTGGTCTGTCCGCAGGGTGTTCCAGCCCGGGGGCCATAGCGGCGAACATAGGTGCAGGGCGGAAGAGTACCGGGGCGACCGCCGCTGCTTGCAGGAGCTCCGCCTGTGGTGGTGGTGCCGTGCTCATCCCCAGTGGTACCGCCACGTCTGCTCGCGCTGCTGCCGCCGGGACCGCTACCTCCCTTGCCTCCACCGCCCCCCTTGCCGTTGTGCTTGCCCTGCTTGCGGGGCTGAGTAGCGTTGAGGGAGGAGGAGGAGGGTTGGGAGGAGGCGAGGTTGACGACGGGGGTGCGAAGTTTGACTTCGGTGTCTATGATCCACTGTTCAACGGAGGCGAGGTCAGCCATGGGATTGGCTTCAGTAAAGGCGTGAAGGCGGGATTCATAGTCGGGAGTGAGGTTAAACAGGAGGCGATGGATTTGGAGGGGTTCGGAGAGGCCGGCTTGGCGGGCTTCGAGGCGGTCAGCTACCTCCCGCATGCGGCCGATGTAGTCGACCGCTCCGTCACAGGTAGCAAGGGTGATTGAGAAGTATTCTTGAAACAGAATGCCGACCGAGCTGATGTCGCGGCGTTCGAACATCGCATGGAGCTCTGCCCAGATGACCGAGGCCCGGAGCTCTCGAGCCTGGAAGCGGCGCATGAGAGAGTCAGGGAGAGCCCCAAGGAGAACGGTGCAGGCACGAGTGTCAGCAGTTGTCCAGGCGATAAGTTTCGGGGTGTAGGTGGCCATGTCGGCTTGGTATTTGGCGACGACGGCGAGGTGAGCGTTGCGGCCGGTAACTGCCTGGTCATAGGCTTCGACTGCTGCATCGTACTCTGCTTTCTTGATAAGGTACGCACGGCGGCGTAGGATGAAGTCTGTATCGGCCGTGGCTTGGTCGGCGGTGAGTTGGAGGTCGGGTTCAAGAGGAGGATCGCCGGGAGAGGGAGGGAGAGGGGGAGTCTCGCCCGGGTGGTCAGGTTCGGTGGGGGGGAGTGCATGGGGACGGCGGAGGAGGACATCAAGGACACGGTAGGGGGGAACCCACGCATCGGAGAGGACCCGTCGGATGCTGCCGACGAAGGAGTGCCAATTAATGGCGGATTTGTCTGCGGCGAGCTGCAGCTTATCGACGGAGGAGGTGTCAATAGGTGGAGGGAGGGGGACGGGGGAGGGTGTGGCGGTAGCCATGGAGGACGGCTGCGGGTGGGCCTGCAGTGGTCACGGGGGGAGGTGAGGCGGCGACGAGGCCGCGGGAGGGAGAGGCCGCGGCGGGCAGCGGCTGAGGCCGCGGCGGAGTCGGCGCGGAGGCGGCGACGAGGCCGCGGGAGGGAGCGGCGCGGACGGCAGCGGCTGGCGAGGCCGCGGCGGAGTCGGCGCGGAGGCGGCGACGAGGCCGCGGAAGGGAGCGGCGCGGACGGCAGCGGCTGAGGCCGCGGCGGAGTCGGCGCGGAGGCGGCGACGAGGCCGCGGGAGGGAGCGGCGCGGACGGCAGCGGCTGGCGAGGCCGCGGCGGAGTCGGCGCGGAGGCGGCGACGAGGCCGCGGAAGGGAGCGGCGCGGACGGCAGCAGCGGAGGCCGCGGCGGAGTCGGCGCGGAGGCGGCGACGAGGCCGCGAGAGGGAGCGGCGCGGACGGCAGCGGCTGGCGAGGGCGCGGCGGTGTCGGCGCGGAGGCGGCGTCGAGGCCGCGGGAGGGAGCGGCGCGGACGGCAGCGGCTGGCGAGGCCGCGGCGGAGTCGGCGCGGAAGCGGCGACGAGGCCGCGGAAGGGAGCGGCGCGGACGGCAGCGGCTGGCGAGGCCGCGGCGGAGTCGGCGCGGAGGCGGCGACGAGGCCGCGGGAGGGAGCGGCGCGGACGGCAGCGGCTGGCGAGGCCGCGGCGGAGTCGGCGCGGAGGCGGCGTCGAGGCCGCGGAGAGGCGTGAGCGGCAGCGGTCGGCGGGACCGCGACGAGGCGAGCGCGGAAGCGGTGATGGGGCTGCGGAAGGGGGGGAGGGAGGGGGGGGGGGGGGTGGTGCGGGCCTTGGCGGCGTGGGAGGCCGCGGGGCTGCGAGGAAGGGAGCGCTTGATGAGAGGGGAAGGGCGGCAAGATGGCCGCGAAAAAAAAAAAAAATGAGGAAGAAGGCCGGGGTTGTAGTGGCCTTTGAAAACTTAATAGAGTAGGCCTAGGAATTAAGAGCTCTATACCATGTGAGAACAATAGTTTGAAGAGAAGTTGATGATTGAATTGAGGAGATTGGGGGTTTACATAGGGAGTGGGTTGGATCCTAGCCTAGGTGAGCATTATTGGACCCCAACCAAGAAGTTGGGTTGAGGGAATATTGGTGGGGTCCAATAATGTTGGCCAAGTTGGAGTTGGGCCAACATTATTGGAGTGAACCAATAATTCTACCCAACCCAACCTTTGAGTCCAATAATTGGACCAAGGTTGGGTTTCCAACCTACAAACTGGGTGACCCTTGTTTGTACACCCAAACTGAGTTTGGGTGCTTAACTCTAGCCTAACCTATAACATCTATGCAGGTTACACAAGAAGATAGATTCTAACACTGGCCCCTCCAGGCCCCTTCCTTTGATGTTTTCTTCCACCAGCAGTCGCACGCGCGCCCTCTCCTCCCTGTAGCTCCCCGCACTCACTGTTGCCAGCGCCTCTGCACGCCTCTGAACAGAATTCACCTGAACGCTACGTCTGTAGACCACCCACCACCACGCCGTAGATACATGGGCACTCACCATGGCTTGGAGACATAGTATCCTGGCCCCTCCAGGCCCCTTCCTTTGATGTTTTCTTCCACCAGCAGTCGCACGCGCGCCCTCTGCTCCCTGTAGCTCCCCGCACTCACTGTTGCCAGCGCCTCTGCACGCCTCTGAACAGAATTCACCTGAACGCTACGTCTGTAGACCACCCACCACCACGCCGTAGATACATGGGCACTCACCATGGCTTGGAGACATAGTATCCTGGCCCCTCCAGGCCCCTTCCTTTGATGTTTTCTTCCACCAGCAGTCGCACGCGCGCCCTCTCCTCCCTGTAGCTCCCCGCGCTCACTGCTGCCAGTGCCTCTGCGATCAAACACTCCGAGCAGCATGCTGCCTGGGAGAGGGCAGGACCACCTTCGTACTGCGTAGTAGGCAAAACAGACGCAGAGGAAACGGGAGGCGAGACTTGTAATCTTGACTCTGTGTGCTCTCACTGCTGCGAGGGCCTCTGCCCTCACATGCTCGCAGGAGCAGCACGCTGCGTGCTACAGGGGCAGACCACTTCCTGAGACGTCTCAAGACACTTCTTAATACACGTGGTACATGGGCAGACTACTTTTTGGCAGACTTCTTACTTTCTAAAAAACTCTCGCGGCAGCACGCTGCCTGCCTGGGATAGGGCGGACCTCCTTCGTTCGTAATGTGATGAACTCAACTCGAAACAGCAGCTAGGAAAAAACACACGGTCGCAGCAGCACAGTGCTTGGGAGAGGGGCGGACCTCCTTCATACCGTGATCAAATCAACATGAAACAGAACGGGAAAAACAGCAACAGCAGCAGCACGGAAAACAGAGTAAAAACTCGGAGACTGTACAACATACCTTGGAGAGAAGCATGGCCCATGCAACAGGTGATACACGCTTCATGAGAGGCAGGCTCGCTCGCGGCACCAACCCGTGGGCAGAGCACAGGAGAGGGGTGTTGTCGATGGGACCTCTGCAGACGTGGGCGACATATATTGTGAGTGGAAAGTGGGGTGAAAGGGGGGCGGGGGGAAGTGTGGAGCAAAGGAAAAAAGTATACATATCTCTGAAAAAGCGGAAGTTGATGTGAGCGATAAAATATCGCTCAATACATGGAGGGCAACTGGTGAAGCCGTGGAGGTGGGAAGGTGGGTGGGGAGGTGGGGAGAAGGGGAGAGGGGGGATAGGTTGGGTTGTGAGGGCGAATATTTAATCAAACTCACAAAGAGGTGTGGGGTGGTGTGACTAGGTGTGTGGTAGGTAGTGTGACTCACGGCAGATCCTCATTGTCAGCCCAAGCCTTGAGCCATTCCGTGCTCATGCAGAGGAGGTAAAGGCGACTCTTTCTTGAGTCGAGTCAGACGGTTACTCAAGGTGTGAGGTGGATGGGTTACTCAAGGGGTGGGGTGGGGTGGGATGGGATGGTGTGGGGTGTGGTGGTGTGGATCGGTGTGACTCACGGCAGGTCCTCATTGTCAGCCCATGCCTTGAGCCACTCCGTGTTGATCCAAAAGAACTCTTCCCCTTCTGCCTCCTCCTCCTCCTCCTCCTCCTCTTTCTCCTCGTCTCTCCTTCCTCCAGTTCCTTCCCCTCCCGCGCCAACAGGCAACAGGGAGAGCACGTTTTGCACCTCGCTCCTCCTCTCCTCAATTCCCTTCGTCGTTTGCTCGTCCCACCTCCTCTGCTCCTCGCACTGCTGCAGAAACGCAGCATTCGCTTGAGTCACCTCGTCTAAGAGAAACTGGGGCAGCCGGACAAAATCACCTCCCAATAGGAACATCTTTTCTTCGTTAGCTGCTTCCGCACTAGCTTGAGGTGCTTTAACAGGTGCGGCAGGTGCTTCCGCTGCAGCATCAGGTGCTTTTGCAGTGGCTTCAGGTGTTTTAACCGCCGCATCAGGTGCTCCTGCTGCTGCTTCAGGTGCTTTAACTGCCGCATCAGCTGTTTCTGCTGTTGGTTCAGGTGATTCACCAGGCGTTGTAGTGGGCTGAAGTGCTTTCACATCTCCTGTCTTAGCACCATTGGCACCATTGGTAGTGGTACCATTCCCTCTCAATGCTTCACCCCTACCACTGCCACCACCATCCCTTCTCAGTATGGCACACTCACCTTCACCTGCATTAGCTGCCTTATCAAAGCTTACAAACCCACTCATCCCCACCCCCTCCCCTTTCTCTCCTTCCCCAAACCCCTCCCGCACGTATATAAGCATGTATGCATCAGCTGACGTCACCTCCTCCCCCTCGTCCTCCCTCTCTCCCTCCCCCTCTTTACCTTTCACTGCAGTCCCCCCTTTCCTGGAACCACCCAGCCCGCACACCCCACCACCGCTCTCCACACCATGCACACCGTTACAAACCACCTCTGGCTTCTTGCTTGTCACTGTCACATGCTGAGCCAGGGACGCGGATCGCCGTTGCCTTACAGGTGCTTTTCCAGGTGCTTTTCCAGGTGGAGCAGCAACAGAATCCGCCAGCAACGCAATCTGCTTCTTCAGAGTCGCCTTGCCAGGGCAGTCAGGTGTTTCTTCAGGTGGATTTTCAGGAAGTGGCTTGAGGATAGTACGACTCGAGGCCTCGTTGTCGCCCCACCCTGCGTCTCTTCTGTGGTCCAAGCGAGGAGGGGTGAGCGTTGCCTTCACCACTGCCGCTCGCTGAAACCTCCGAAACCCACTCCTCCTCACTCCCCTCCTTAATCCGCTTACCGTCCCTTGCATCTGCACGGTCAGCAATCCGATCCAAGTCAATTGGATCAGGGTCAGCCACATTAGTCCCATTACGGTCAATCGGATCACGGTCAGTCCCATCAAGCAGAATCAAATCAGAGCTAGTCCCAGGAGGTTCAGTCCGATCAAGGTCAATCGGACGAGAGTCAGTCTTTCCTGGGTCAATCCTTGCAGAGCGAGTCTCATCGGTGTTGTTCATTCCGTCAAGGTCAATTGGCTGAGGGTCACAGACATCTGAAGTCGCTTCACTCTTCCCATCGGTCACGTCAGTCCTATCATCAACCCCTGCTGATCCTTCTACTGCTTCCCTTGCTGCCCCTGGCCCTGCTGTTCCTGCTGCCACTGCTGCCCCTGCTGCCCCTGCTGCTCCTACTTCTTCTCCTCCTACTTCTGCTTCTCCTCCTCCTGCTGCCCCCGCTTCTCCTGCTATCTCTACCTCTCCTGCTGCCGCTGCTGCTCCATCTCCTTCTCCTGCTGCTGCCTTTTCCACTCCGCTCCCACTAGTCCCACTCCTCTCTGCAACCCCCACAACCTTCCCAGCCAACTGCGTCCCTACGCTTTCAACCCCTTTCTCCTTCCCCATAGCATCTTGAGACGCCTCAACCGCCCCTTTCTCAGTCCCCACCTCAGCTTTCTTCCGAGCCCCCTTCCCCTCCCCCTTCTCCTCCCCCATAGGGTGTCGTCCCAGCCTCACCACCTCCTCATCATTGAACAACCACCACTCCCCACTGCGCACGTCCTTAACATGGGCCACATAGTGCCCGCACGACGCCTGGCTGCCTTTGTGCTGCAGAATCGCTACTAACTGGTACTTAAGACTAGGTCTAGGAGGCTTGGATGCCGTCTGACTAGGCTCCGCTGTTCTTTGCTCTTCTCCTGCTTCTGTTTTTCCTTCTCCTGCTTCTGTTCTTCCTGCTCCTGCTTCGTCCCCTCCTCCTCCTCTTCCTCCCCTTCTCGCAGCACTGCCTCGTCTCTTTCCCCCTCCCCACTGCCTGGGCTCTTCCCCTCTATCCCCAATTCCCCTACTGCCTCGTTTTCCTCTCCCTCCCTTACTCTCTACCCTTGCTCCCCCTGCCCCCTCCCCTCCCGCTCCTTTTGCTCCTCCTTCCCTTACTACTGCTGCTGCTTCTGCCAAAGGCTCGCCTGTGTCTCTGCAGGAATCACCTCGTGGCTGCACGTACGGTGACAGGTCGAGAGTGAGAGGGATGCGCACCCCTGATGTCACTTTCTTCTTGCTCGTGGTCTGTGTGGGGAAACAACAGCCACAGATAGCAGACAGACGGATACACAGTTGCTTTGGAGTTGACTCAAGAATCACCCCGTCGTTGCACGTACGGTGAGAGGTCGAGATTCAGAGGCATGCGCACCCCTGAAGTCACTTTCTTCTTGCTCGTTGTCTGCAGCAGTGGCAGAGGGAGTGACGCACACAGAAACACATGAGACAAGATGGATTTTGAAACGTCTCAAGAATGCCGATCCAGGATTTAACATCAACACAGAACATATGCTTTCACCGATTGACACTCGTACAGTAAACACTACCACTACACTAACTTGGCATCTGACACGAAACATCAGGTGCTTATAGAATATCTGGTTACCACAATCGGGTTACCACACCACTGCCCTTCAATTACCTTTGCATCAAACACAAAGCGCATGAGGTGCAGGTTCAGCACAGGAGGCACGCTGCGGATGCACACTCCCCTCCTCCTCTCCATACATACCCCCACCCACCAGACATAAACGTAACCCACCTTGGCATCGAACACAAAGCGGCAGGTTCAGCACGGGAGGCACACTGCGGATGCACACCCTCCTCTCGCCATACACACCCCCACCCAACCACCAGACATACACGTAACCCACCTTTGCATCAAACACGAAGCGCATGAGGTGCAGGTTCAGCACGGGAGGCACACTGCGAACGCACACCCTCCTTCTCATCAGACATAGCCCCACCAGATATACACACCTTGGCATCGAACATGAAGCGCATGAGGTGCAGGTTCAGCATGGGAGGCACACTGCGAACGCACACCCTCCTTCTCATCAGACATAGCCCCACCAGATATACACACCTTGGCATCGAACACGAAGTGCATGAGGTGCAGGTTCAGCATGGGAGGCACACTGCGAACGCACACCCTCCTTCTCATCAGACATAGCCCCACCAGATATACATACCTTGGCATCGAACACGAAGCGCATGAGGTGCAGGTTCAGCATGGGAGGCACACTGCGAACGCACACCCTCCTTCTCATCAGACATAGCCCCACCAGATATACACACCTTGGCATCGAACACGAAGCGCATGAGGTGCAGGTTCAGCATGGGAGGCACACTGCGAACGCACACCCTCCTTCTCATCAGACATAGCCCCACCAGATATACACACCTTGGCATCGAACACGAAGCGCATGAGGTGCAGGTTCAGCATGGGAGGTACACTGCGAACGCACACCCTCCTTCTCATCAGACATAGCCCCACCAGATATACACACCTTGGCATCGAACACGAAGCGCATGAGGTGCAGGTTCAGCATGGGAGGCACACTGCGAACGCACACCCTCCTTCTCATCAGACATAGCCCCACCAGATATACACACCTTGGCATCGAACACGAAGTGCATGAGGTGCAGGTTCAGCATGGGAGGCGCACTGCGAACGCACACCCTCCTTCTCATCAGACATAGCCCCACCAGATATACACACCTTGGCATCGAACACGAAGCGCATGAGGTGCAGGTTCAGCATGGGAGGCACACTGCGAACGCACACCCTCCTTCTCATCAGACATAGCCCCACCAGATATACACACCTTGGCATCGAACACGAAGCGCATGAGGTGCAGGTTCAGCATGGGAGGCACACTGCGAACGCACACCCTCCTTCTCATCAGACATAGCCCCACCAGATATACACACCTTGGCATCAAACACGAAGCGCATGAGGTGCAGGTTCAGCACGGGCGCCACGCTACGAATGCACACCCTTCTTGTGGCGTCCGTTTTCCGCCCGCACTGCTCGCAGCACATCTGGTTACCACCGTCCAGCCGCTCCTCTGCTGTGTAACGCTCAAGACACTGCTGCACAGACACGCCACTGGCCTTCTCCCCTGCCGTTGCCGCCGCCGCCGCAGCTGCTGCTGCTCCCTTCTTCTTGCGTTTAAGTGGTCCCTTGGTCGGGGGAGCGGCTGGTGGTTGTGCTGATTCCTGTGCTGGAGTGTGCAGGGGCAGCTCGAGCTCATAGAAAGGGACCAAGCGGGAGGATGAGGCTGACGGCTGACCACATTCGCAACACCTGGTGGGGTGCAGTGTGGTGGTGTGCAGTACGGTGTGGTGGGGTGGGGTGAGGTGAGGTGCACAGGAGATCAAGTTGCTAGTTGATTTGGAATTGTGTTGCTGGAGTGTGCAGGGGTAGCTCGAGCTCATAGAAAGGGACCAAGCGGGAGGACGAGGCTGATGGCTGACCACACTCGCAGCACCTGGTGGGGTGGGGTGCAGTGCGGTGTAGTGCGTGCGAGAGGGCGCGATGGGGTGGGACGGGGTGGGTTGAGCTGGTTAGTGTGTTGCTGACTGATCTGGTGGTGGTGTTCGAGTGTGCAGAGGTAGCTCGAGCTCATAAAAAGGGACGAGGCGGGAGGACGAGGGTGATGGCTGGGCACACTCGCAGCACCTGGTGGGGTGAGGTGGGGTGGGGTGTGGCGTGATGCGGTGTGCTATAATGTGGTGGAAGGCTGGGCTTATATCACGACTGAGCAAAGAGGCACCCGTCCTAGCACACGCTTTAAGACAAAGCGGCAGAGGGTTGTACGTGGCAAGCACAAGCCACTCACATGGCAAGCGAAGCCACTCACGTGGCAAGCGAAGCCACTCACGTGGCAAGCACAAGACACTCACGTGGCAAGCACAAGACACTCACGTGGCAAGCACAAGACACTCACGTGGCAAGCACAAGACACTCACGTGGCAAGCACAAGACACTCACGTGGCAAGCACAAGACACTCACGTGGCAAGCACAAGACACTCACGTGGCAAGCACAAGACACTCACGTGGTCACATAGGAGTACGTCCCTCGGAACAGATGCGCCAGAAAGCCACCTGGCACCACGGGATTGGCTGTCCCATTGGCAGAAGGTGCAGGGATGGAAGATGCGTTGGAGGAGGAGATGACGTGGGAGGAGGCGAGGGAGGAAGAGGAGAGGAGCGACTCTAGGAAGGAGAGAAAGAGTTTCATGAATTCCTGACCGTCCTGCTGCACGTCACTGTCTAACTGAAGGACGTCCGTCAACTTTGACGGATTCACCACTGACCGGCAGCCAACCGTCAGGCTGACGAAAATGCGAGCTAACTCTAACAGGACCGGGTGCTGACGCAGCGTGACGTCATCCGTGGCAAAAAATCCGCGCAGGAAACCCGGGATTCGATATAAGCACTGGAGGATGCTGTTGATATAGCAAGTCGCGCCGAGATTGGTCAATCCTACGGGGGATGACGTGGATTCGCGAAGCTCCGCGGAAAGATCGTCTGTTTCTCGCAAAATATTCGAGATATTTTGCCATAAGCCGCGCTTGCGGAAGGTTCCGGGAAGCGGGGCGAGGCCGCAGAAACAGTTGGGGTTGTCTTTGGAGTTGACTCGGCAGCCATGGCAGACGGGAGACGACAAGCGGAATGCGATGTCGCGTTGCTTAGATGTGACTGTAACGGTGGCTGCTATTTCCCTGCACGCACAAGCAATCAGAGTGACATTGGAAACGTCGCAGCCGTGTCAGAGCGAGAAACTACCGGTATGTAAAAAAAAAAACAACAAAAAAACAGTGGAAACGGAGAAAATGCAGGAAAGGTTAGAGCTACGGCGGGAAGTACCTGAAGGCGCGGAGAAGGGGGTCGACCGTCTCTCCCTGATCGCGCTTCTTACGCGCGCGAGAGTTGCTCGCACTGCCAGCTCGTCGCTTCATGGTGTCCAGTCAGGTCGCCTAGGGAAAAAGATTGTTCAGAAAGAGGCTTCAAGGTGAAGCTACAACATGTAAACTTGGTCAAATAAAAATTAGTTAGCTTGCTGACATCGGGTGCTTGGTCTAGTGGTATGATTCTCGCTTCGGGTGCGAGAGGTCCCGAGTTCGATTCTCGGAGCACCCCCGCTTTTGTTTTTGCCCCCCTTAGCTGTTTCGCGTGGGGTTGCCCCCCTTCCTGTCGGGTACTCTCTAGCAAAGGATCTCCAGCGGCTCTCAAGGAGCGCGATGCATGAGTCTAGTGTGATGAATTAAACAGAACAGACAGGGGATACTGGTACTAGGCTTGGCATCCTTAACAGAAGCACAGCAATAACTTAATCAGCTTGAGGCTCAGCCATCTCCATCACCCCATGTCCTCTCCTCCTTGAAGCCTCAACTCATACATTGTAAAATGCCCTCGCTCTCAACATTCGATTTGTAAATTATCCCTCTCAGCCGCGCATCTATACCTGCATTATCACTCTTGAGGCACACTCCGCCCTTGGTCGACGCAAAAGTACCATTCAGCACCCCACACCAGACCCTCTTCCCTTGCGCCCGGTCAACTGCCTCGTCCTCGCCCTCATAGCCTGCCCTCTCAAGCAGGCATCAATTGCTGTATTGTCACTCCTGATACACTCCATACCGTAAGCTGCTGCTCTGCTGCTTCCCATCCTCTCAGCACCACTGTTGCATACCTCTCAGCACCCCACACCAGACCCACTGCCCTTGCGCCCGGTCAACTGCCTCTTCCTCGCCCTCATAGCCTGCCCCCTCAGGCACGCATCTATCGCCGCATTGTCACTCCTGATACACTCCATAAGCTGCTGCTCTGCTGCCATAAGTGCCGCCTCCGCTGCTGCCCTCTGCTTCCTAAGCGTCGCCACCGCGCTTAGCAAAGCGGCAGTGGACATGGTGCTGATGTCAGCCCCGGGCTCCAGGCCCGGGATCCGAACCACCAGCGGCCGAGGCTGGGCAGGTTCGGGAGGAGTCGGAGGTTCGGGAAGAGGTGGGAGGTCGGGGAGGGAGAAGGATTTGGGGTCTGGGGATAGTGGGACTGGGAGAGTTTGAGGGGCAGCAGTTTGAGGGGCAGCAGTTTGAGGGGCAACAGTTTGAGGACCTGTCTGCTGGGAATCAGGATTGGGTGCTTCTGAAGAGGCAGGCAGAGCATTAGATGCTGATTCCACAGGATCAGCAGCGGGCTCAGCAGGCTGAGCAGGCTCGGCAACCGCAGGCTCGGCAGACTCTGCGACAGCAGGTTTAGAAGGCTCAACAGCGGCAGGTTCGGCAGGATCATCAGTGGCAGGTTCGGTAGTATCAGAAGCAGGTTCGGCACTCTCAGCAGTGGCAGATTCGGTTGGCTCAACAGTGACAGGTTCGGCAGAATCAGCGGCAGCAGGCTCGGCAGACTCCGCAGCAACTGTCTGTGCCGAATCAGCGTTGGCAGGCTCGGCAGACTCTGCAACTGCAGGTTCGGCAGACTCAGAAGCAGCAGGCTCGGTAGACTCAGCAGCAGCAGGTTCGGCAGACTCAGCAGCAACAGGCTCGGCAGACTCAGCAGCGGCAGATTCGGTAGACTCAGCAGCAGCAGGTCCGGCAGACTCAGCGGCAGCAGGTTCAGCAGGCTCGGCAGCGGCAGATTCGGCAGTCTCAGCAACTGCAGATTGGGCAGACTCAGAACAAGCAGGCTTGGTAGCCTCAGCAGCAGCAGGTTCGGCAGACTTAGCAGCGGCAGGTTCGGTAGACTCAGCAGCAGCAGGTTCGGCAGACTCAGCGGCAGCAGGTTCGGCAGGCTCGGTAGACTCAGCAGCCGCAGGTTCGGCAGACTCAGCGGCAGCAGGTTCGGCAGGCTTGCCAAACTCAGCAGCAGCAGGTTCGGCAGTCTCAGCAGCATCAGGTTCGGCAGGCTCAGCGACAGCAGGTTCGGCAGACTCAGCAGCAGCAGCAGGCTTGGCAGACTCAGCAGTGGCAGGTTCGGCAGACTTAGCAGCGGCAGGTTCGGTAGACTCAGCAGCAGCAGGTTCGGCAGACTCAGCGGTAGCAGGTTCGGCAGGCTCGGTAGGCTCAGCAGCCGCAGGTTCGGCAGACTCAGCGGCAGCAGGTTCGGCAGGCTCGCCAAACTCAGCAGGAGCAGGTTCGGCAGTCTCAGCAGCATCAGGTTCGGCAGGCTCAGCGACAGCAGGTTCGGCAGACTCAGCAGCAGCAGCAGGCTTGGCAGACACAGCAGCGGCAGGTTCGGCAGAGGCAGGCTCGGCAGTCTCAGCAGCAACAGGCTCTGCAGACTCAGCAGCGGCAGGCTCGGCAGACTCAGCAGCAGCGGGTTCAGCAGTCTCAACAGCGGCAGGTTCGGCAGTCTCAGCAGGGCCAGGTTCAGCAGATTCAGCTGCAGCAGGTTCGGCAGATTCAGCTGCAGCAGGTTCGGCAGAATCAGTGGCAGCAGGCTCAGCATACTCAGCATCAGCTGCAGGCTCGGCTGATTCAGCAGCGGCAGGTTTGGCAGAACCAGCAGAGGCAGGCTCGGCAGTCTCAGCAGCAACAGGCTCTGCAGACTCAGCAACAGGCTCTGCAGACTCAGCAACGGCAGGTTCAGCACTCTCAGCAGCGGCAGGCTTGGCAGACACAGCAGCAGCAGGCTCGGCAGACTCAGCGTCGGCAGGTTCGGCAGACTCAGCAGCAGCAGGTTCAACAGACTCGGCGGCGGCAGGTTTGGCAGACTCAGCAGCGGCAGGCTCGGCAGACAAAGCAGCAGCAGCTTCGGCAGTCTCAGTGGCAGCAGGCTCGGCTGAATCAGCAACTGCAGGCTCGGCAGATTCAGTAGCGGCAGATTCGGCAGACTCAGCAGCGGCAGGTTCGGCAGAACAAGCAGAGGCAGGCTCGGCAGTGTTAGCAGCAGCAGGCTCTGCAGACAGCTCCAAAAAGGCAGGTTCAGCAGACTCAGCAGCGGCAGGTTCGAAAGATTCAGCGGCGGCAGGTTCGGAAGATTCAGCGGCGGCAGGTTCAGCAGACTCAGCAGCTGCAGGTTCGGCAGACTCTGCAGCAACAGGCTCGGCGGGCTCAGAAGCAGCAGGTTCGGTAGACCCAGCAGTAGTAGGTTCTGCAGACTCAGCAGCTGCAGGCTCGGCAGATGCAGCAGGAGCACTCTCGGCAGACTCAGCAGCGGCAGGCTCGGCAGTCGCAGAAACTGCAGGTTCAGACCCAGCAACAGCAGGTTCGGCAGCCTCAATAGCAGCAGGCTCAGCAGACTCAGTGACAGCAGGCTCGGCAGCCTCAGTAGCAACAGGTTCAGCAGCGACAGCAGGCTCGGCAGACTCAGCAGCGGCAGGCTCGGCAGACCCGGCAACAACCAGCGGGGCAGACTCAGAAGCACCAGCAGCACCAGCAGCAGCAGCACCACCACCAGCAGCAGCAGCAGCAGCACCAGCAGCAGCGGCGGCGCTAAGCTGTCTGGTGAGGCCGGCACGGGCCTGCACGGCCTTGAAGTGAGAGAAGAGTGCTGAGAGGTATGTCTGGGAGGAACCCAGTAGCTGGTGGGGGGAAAGGGGACAGGAGGGGGGGAGATACAGGGAGATGGGGATAAAGGCGTTGGTATGTCTCGAGAGTGAGAGAGGAAGAACCTCGAGACACGTCTGCGAGGTACTCCTGAGGCGAAGCTAGAAGCCTGACTGTTTGTGGATCACTAGAACTAACGACTCCGACTAAGTCACTGCTATCCCCCCGAATCATCTCACCCCGAGAGCGTGCAGCAGCTCCCCCTCCAGCTCCTGCCTATCACACTCCCTCGACCCTATCGCATAGGCACCTCCCTCACCTGCTCACTGCATCGTTCCCTTTCTCCTCTCCCCCCCCATGCGTGCAGCAGTTCGCCCTCCAGTCCTGCCTGTCTCGCTCCCACGACTTAGCCCCCGCATGCATGTGAGACCCACGCGACATGCATCCCCGCATACAAGTAGATCCCACGCGGGACCCTAATCATCTCACCTCAAGAGCGTGCAGCAGCTCCCCCTCCAGCTCCTGCCTGTCACGCTCCCAAGACTCTGTGATTAAGCAGTACGCATCTAGACCCCAAACGTCTTGCCTCGAAACCCTGAGCATCTCAGCTCAACTCATATCTCACCTCAAGTGCGTGCAGCAGTTCCCCCTCCAGCTCCTGCCTGTCGCGTTCCCACGACTCTGCAGCCACCTCACTCGCCTCTGCTGCTGCCTGCACCTCCTGAGCCGCCACCGCCGCTTCCCCTGCTAGCTGGTCGTACTCTGGGTGGAGGCACATGGGCGAGGGGTTGAAAGGTAGTGAACAGGGATGAGAAAGTGTTGCTTGATAGCCTCTGCTGCTGCCTGCACCTCCTGAGCCGCCACCGCCGCTTCCCCTGCTAGCTGGTCGTACTCTGTATGCAGAAGGGTGTATAACAGGCAGAGCATTGAAATGCGGCATGGTTGGTTGATTGCATCTCCTCTGAAGCCATCTCACTCGCCTCTGCTGCTGCCTGCACCTCCTGTGCTGCCACCGCCGCTTCCCCTGCTTGCTGGTCGAATTCTGCATGCAGAAGGGTGTATAACAGGCAGGGCATTGAAGGATAAGAGATCAGGGATGCGACACAGTTGGTTCATTGCCTTGACTCTGCAGCCACCTCACTTTGCTCTGCTGCTGCCTGCACCTCCCGTGCTGCCACCGCTGCTTCCCCTGCCATTTCGTCGTACTCTGCATAGAGGGAGAATATGGGCGTTCAAGTGAAGGGAAAAGGTAGGAATCAGGTTAGGAATCAGGGTAGGAATCAGGGTAGTAATCAGGTTAGAAATCAGGTTAGAAATAAGGTTAGAAATCAGGTTAGAAATCAGGTTAGAAATCAGGTTAGAAATCAGGTTAGAAATCAGGTTAGAAATGAGATTAGGAATCAGGTTAGGAATCAGGGTAGGAGTCACCTTTTCCCTGGTGTCTCTCATAAGCACGGATATTACCTTTTATGGCGCCTCAAAAGTAACCTCTGCCACAGCCTGCACTGCAATTCCTATCTCACCTACTCCCTGGTCTCTCAATCACCTTCCCAGGGAGTCCCTAGCCCAGACACGGCCTTTCCTGGTCCTGCCGCCCCTTACCCCGCCCTCCCCCTGCTCTCACCTGCCTCCAGTCGCAGCACACTCTCAAACGGCAGGCGCACCCGAAGGGACTTGGAGACACACTCTTAAGCCTCGACCATACCCTACTCCCGCGCCTGGATATGACCTTCCCAAGACCTGATTCCCGTGCCCCTCCCCCATCTGCTCTCACCTGCCTCCAGTCGCAGCACACTCTCAAACGGCAGGCGCACCCGAAGGGACTTGGAGACACACTCTTAAGCCTCGACCATACCCTACTCCCGCGCCTGGATATGACCTTCCCAAGACCTGATTCCCGTGCCCCTCCCCCATCTGCTCTCACCTGCCTCGAGTCGCAGCACACTCCCAAACGGCAGGCGCACCCGAAGGGACTTGGAGACACACTCTTAAGCCTCGACCATACCCTACTCCCGCGCCTGGATATGACCTTCCCAAGACCTGATTCCCGTGCCCCTCCCCCATCTGCTCTCACCTGCCTCGAGTCGCAGCACACTCTCAAACGGCAGGCGCACCCGAAGGGACTTGGAGACACACTCTTAAGCCTCGACCATACCCTACTCCCGCGCCTGGATATGACCTTCCCAAGACCTGATTCCCGTGCCCCTCCCCCATCTGCTCTCACCTGCCTCCAGTCGCAGCACACTCTCAAACGGCAGGCGCACCCGAAGGGACTTGGAGACACACTCTTAAGCCTCGACCATACCCTACTCCCGCGCCTGGATATGACCTTCCCAAGACCTGATTCCCGTGCCCCTCCCCCATCTGCTCTCACCTGCCTCCAGTCGCAGCACACTCTCAAACGGCAGGCGCACCCGAAGGGACTTGGAGACACACTCTTAAGCCTCGACCATACCCTACTCCCGCGCCTGGATATGACCTTCCCAAGACCTGATTCCCGTGCCCCTCCCCCATCTGCTCTCACCTGCCTCCAGTCGCAGCACACTCTCAAACGGCAGGCGCACCCGAAGGGACTTGGAGACACACTCTTAAGCCTCGACCATACCCTACTCCCGCGCCTGGATATGACCTTCCCAAGACCTGATTCCCGTGCCCCTCCCCCATCTGCTCTCACCTGCCTCCAGTCGCAGCACACTCTCAAACGGCAGGCGCACCCGAAGGGACTTGGAGACACACTCTTAAGCCTCGACCATACCCTACTCCCGCGCCTGGATATGACCTTCCCAAGACCTGATTCCCGTGCCCCTCCCCCATCTGCTCTCACCTGCCTCCAGTCGCAGCACACTCTCAAACGGCAGGCGCACCCTCAGTGCCTTGGAGACACACTCCCCAAAGCCAAGCCCAGATACAACCTTCCCCAGACCTGACCGCCCCCTGCTCTCACCTGCCTCCAGCCGCAACACACTCTCAAACGGCAGGCGCACCCTCAGTGCCTTGGAGACACACTCCCCCAAGCCAAGCCCAGATACAACCTTCCCCAGACCTGACCGCCCCCTGCTCTCACCTGCCTCCAGCCGCAACACACTCTCAAACGGCAGGCGCACCCTCAGTGCCTTGGACACCAGCTCTTCTACATCCCTGTCGGGGAGGAGCTGATGGGGGGGGATGGGGAAGGGGAGGGGGAGGGGAAGGGGGACGGTAGGATAGGTGCGCATGGCGTGATGAGTAAGCCAGTGGCTTCACAAGACAGGCGCACCCTCAGCGCCTTGGATACCAGCTCGTCCACATCCCTGTCGGGGAGGAGTTGATGGGCGGGGATGAGGAAGCGGAACGGGGACGGGGGAAGATAGAGAGGACGAGAGGGGGGTTGGTGGGTATCCGCAGCGCCTTAGACACCAGCTCTTCCATTTCCCTGTCCGGGTGGAGCTGATGGGTGGGGAGAGGGAGGGAGAGGGAGGGGGGAGGGAGGGTGGGATGGTGTGATGAGTGAAAAGGTCGCTCTCACAGGGCACGTTGATTGAAATTTTGAGAAATCTCAAAAGTATGGTGTGATGAGTAAAAAAGTCGCTCTCACAGGGCACGTTGATTAAACTTTTGAGAAATCTCAAAAGTATGGTGTGATAAGTGAAAAAGTCGCTCTCACAGGGCAGGCACGTCCTCAGCAGCGCCTTGGACACCAGCTCCTCCACATCCCTGTCCGGGATGAGCTGATGGGTGGGAGAGGCGGGGAAGGGGAGGGGGGAATGGAGAGATGGCGAGAGGGTCGTTGGCTGCACTTAGACACTTGGAGACCCTCTCGCGTTGAACACCAGCTCCTCCACATCTTTGTCCGGGATGAGCTGGTGGGTGGGAGGAGAGGGAGAGTGAGGAAAGCAAACGAGTAGCGAGTGGCTTTCAGAGAGCAGGCACACCCTCAGCACCTTCCTCCACGTCCGTGTCAGGGAGGCAATCACCATCACTCACTCACCCACTCATGCACTCACTCACCCACTCATGCACTCACTCACCCACTCATGCACTCACTCACCCACTCATGCACTCACTCACCCACTCATGCACTCACTCACCCACTCATGCACTCACTCACCCACTCATGCACTCACTCACCCACTCATGCACTCACTCACCCACTCATGCACTCACTCACCCACGCATGCACTCACTCACCCACTCATGCACTCACTCACTCCCTTACTCACTCACTACTCACTCACATTGAGCTCCAGAGGCAGCTCCGAGTGAAGGAAGTGCAGACAGTAGTCAAACTCGGGACACAGCATTAGCTGACGCCGGGTGACCTGGGGGAGAGGAGGGGAGAGGAGGGGAGAGGAGGGAACAGGCAGAGGGGAGAAGAGAACGGAAGAAGAGGCAGTGGGTGAAACGAAGCGACTTCTTAGGTGCCTCAGAAGAGCCAGTTGGTAGTGAGGGAAAGGACACGTGAAAGCAGGAGGTTGATGAATGAAGAAGGAACAAGGGGTGAAAATGAAATCATGTGCGGTTGGAGTTGCTTTATAATCCTCACCTGCAGCAGCACTATCGCGAGCTTGAACACAACTGACATGGTCTTCTCAGCTGTAGATGTGGTGTGGTGTGGCGCGGTGTGATGTGATGCGGTGTGGTGCGGAGGGGTGTGATGTGATGTGATGTGATGTGATGTGATGTGATGTGATGTGATGTGATGTGATGTGATGTGATGTGATGTGATGTGATGTGATGTGATGTGATGTGATGTGATGTGATGTGATGTGATGTGATGTGATGTGATGTGGTGTGATGTGATGAGATGAGATGTGGGCAGGAGGGGAGCACAAGAAGACGACATGGAGAAGCAGGTATGAGTGGAATGCATGCATGAGACACTTGTTGCATCTAAGAGCACACGAGGCACAAGGCAGATATGAAGCGTGTATGAGTCACATACCGAACACCATGTCAAACACATATGAGTTGTGCACGACATACAGAGACATGTGGCGGGCAAAGAGAGCACACACACACTGCGTACAAGGCAAGGCGCGTGTTGCACGCAGCAATACACAAGGCACGAGGCACAGAAAACGAGTCGCGTACCCAGCACGATGTCGAAGACGCGATACACAAGGTACTGAGGCATGTGGCGGGAATAAGGTAAGGTAGGGAGTGCGTACACGGTGTGTGTCGCATCCAACAACACACATAGCACAAGGCAAAAGGCACCTACCCAGCACGATGTCAAAAACGCGATACACAAGGTACTGAGGCATGTGGCGGGAATAGGTAAGGTAGGGAGTGCAAACACACAGTATGTGTCGCATCCAACGACACACATAGCACAACACACAAGGCACCTACCCAGCACGATGTCAAAAACGCGATACACGAGGTACTGGGGCATGTGGCGGGCGAAGAGTGAGAGAAGCCAATCCGCTGCATACATGCTCTGGTGGTGAAGGCATAGGGAGAGGGGAAGGGAGCGGGGGGGGAGGGAAGAAGGGGGAGGGATGAGTGGGGAGAGAAGGGAAGCGAGAAGGGGGAGGGATGAGGGGGAAGGGAAGGGACGGAAGGGGGGTGCAGGTCAAAAAGGCAACACAAGCGGGCATAAACAGGTCGAATCAACTCAAGTCAACTCAAGTCAACGCCAAAAGCTCACTGGTTTGAGCTGCACGTCCTCAAAGGAGGAGTGCGGGCGAGAGTCAACTCAAGTCCATGCAGGTCAACTCACTGGTTTCAACTGCAAGTCCTCAAAGAAGGAGTGCAGGCGAGGCGTGGTCTCTGCCAGGAACTGGGAGAGCTGCGAGAGACGCGTGTTGAGCTGGAAGCGGAGGAGAGGGAGGGTAGAGGGAGGGAAGAGGGGAGAGAGAAGGTTGGGTGTGATCCAAAAGGAACTCGGAAAGGCATAAATGACAACCCTTTAGAGTGTATTAATGAAACCTCTGTCTCAGCTGCACCCACCTGGTGGATGTTGGGCGCAAAGAGCCCTCGCAGGCCGCAGCCCTCACCTCATGGCAATGCAAACACTATACTCCTCTCACTCCTCTCAACGTGTGTAGATGCTCCCTCTCTCCCATCCCCACCTGGTGCATGTTGGGTGCAAAGAGGCCTCGCAGGCCACAGCGGTGCATGAGGAAGAGGAGGGAGAGGAAGGCGTCTTCCTCCACCATGAGGGAGAGCAGAGTGAGCGCCATCCATCCCATGCCACTGCAGTACCACGTATCCGGGTCACACACCTATTAGAGGGGGCCCGGGGAGGATGGGGGGATGGGGGAGAAGGAGAGTGAAATATGAGGGTGGCGAGAGGAAACATTAGGGCAAGGAGTACTCCCACCCCATGCCGCTGCAGTACCACGTGTCCGGGTCACACACCTTATGGGAGGGGGGATGAGGGTAGAAGAGGGGGAAAAAGGGGGGGAAGAGAGCAGTGCATGAGGGAGAGCAGAGTGAGCGCCATCCACCCCATGCCACTGCAGTACCACGTGTCCGGGTCACACACCTGGTGGGAGGAGGAGGGGTGGGGGAGCCGCGGAGGGAAAAGGAGAGGGGAGGGGCGAGTTATGAGGGCGGAGAGGGGACGGAGAAGAGCCAGGAGCGTCCCCTCCTAATGTCAATGCTGCAGTGCCATGTGTTAGTGGCAAGACACCTGATGGGTTGGGGGGAGAGGAGGAGAGCGGTGCATGAGGAAGAGGAGGGAGAGGAGGGAGAGGAGGGAGAGGAGGCAGCTGAAAACCTTTAACTCACAGAGTAAGCTTTGATAAGATTCAGCAGCGACTGGTGCAGAGCTGCATCCTCCTCACTCAACCCATCCTCCACCCGCACCACCCTTCCCACCACCACCACACTCACACCTTCCCCAGCAGGAGCAGCAGCAACAGCAATGACATAGAGTATCCAAAGTGGAAATGACATGTCAATCGTCAACTCACAGAGTAAGCTTTGATGAGGTTCAGCAGTGACAGGTGCAGAGCTGCGTCCTCCTCACTCAGCCCATCCTCCACTCCCACCAATACCACGCCCCCACCTTCCCCTGCACCACCAGCGGCAGCAGCAGAGGCAGCACCAGCAGCAGCAGCATCAGCAGAAGCAGCAACAGCGGCAGCTGCGGCAGCAGAAGCAGCAACGGCATCGGCAGCAGCAGCGTCAGGAGCAGATTCAGCACCAGCAGCACCAGCAGCGGCAGCAGATGCGATCTGTGCTGCTTCCCGGGCCTGCCTCTCTGCTGCAGCAGCCATTAGCTTAGCCACTTTCTCAGCAGCCACAGCAGCAGGGGGGCGCTTAGGGGAGAATGCTATAGAGGGGACAGATGTCCCGCTGCCTGATGCTGCTGCTGCTGCGTCCTGCTCACCCTCCTGGTTACCCTCCTGGCCTTTCTCCTGGTTACTGTCACCATGCCATTTCTCCTGCTGCTGCTGTTGCTGCTGCTGCTCCTGCTTCAGGAGGAGTGCTTGTGCCTGCTTCTCCCTCCACTCTAGCACCACACAGAGAGTGTCTCGGTATACCTCTCTGAGAGGGAGAGATGGAGAGAGGAAGGAAGGGGACGAGCGAGGAAGGACTTTTGAGTTAAAAAAGTTCTCCCTCCAGTCGAGTCGAGCACCACACAGAGAGTGTCGCGATATACCTCTCTGAAGGTACGGGAGGAGAGAGAAAGGAAGGGGAAGAGAGAGGAAGGAATGGGCGGGAGCGACATGAAAAAAAGGAGAGAAGGGGAGCAGAGAGGAAAGAAGGATTGAGAGGAGGGAGATGATAAAGAAACGAGGAGGCAGAAGTGAAGGGGAGACGAGAGCGGCTAAAATGGAGAGAGGGAGGCGAAGCAGAGGAGAGAGGTCGAGGTGTTTTGAGTCGACTCAAACGACGAAGCAGAGGAGAGAGGGAGATGTTGTGGATGAAATGAGGACATACGCAGTGGGAGGGGCAGAGGCAGCTCGCTCCTTGAGAAGCGTGTAGCTGGTGCGGTTGATCAGATCGTCCTGACGTGGGGAGCATGGAGGGGATGGGAAGGGCGGATAGTAGGGAGTGAGGAGCGAGGACAGGGAGGACTTGGAACGGGGAAGGCTCAGCAGCAGCTCGCTCCTTCAGCAGCGTATAGCTGGTGCGGTGCGGTTGATCAGATCGTCCTATTGTGGGAGAAACAGGAATTTAAAATATAGACAAAGAACACACACTATGGGAATTCCAGTACACACACAGGAGAAAAACCAATCACAGCACACGAGAAAACAGAAATTTACCGGGACGCATGCCACACCACAGGGTCGGAGCACGCCATACTTCAAGCCTGCACCATACCCCATCCTCAGGATCAGAGCATGCCATACCTCAGGTTCGGAGCACGCCATACCTCAGGGTCGGAGCATGCCATGGCAATCCAAGAGGGACCCCTCTGATCAGCGGGAATGAGCCCAGCCAAGAGAGACTGGCTGAGATGGCTGCGATGACACGCCTGGTGGGAGTGGTGATGGGGGAGAGGGGTTGGGGAGGGAGCAGGAGACGAATGGGGAGAGGGGAGAGGGCAACATGAGTGCAACAGGCCGATCCAGGAGGGGCCTCTCTGGTGGGCAGGAGTGAGTCCAGCCAAGAACGACTGGCTGAGATGGCTGCGATGACACGCCTGGTGGGAGTGGTGGGGTAGAGAAGGGGGAGCGGAAAAATGTTGAGCAGACAACAGGAGGGACCTCTCTGGTCTCCAGCCGAGAGCGACTGGCTGAGATGGCTGCGATGACACGCCTGGTGGGAGTAGGATGGGGGGAAAGGGATGCGCATAAGGGGAGGTACAGGGACCAGCAGGATAAACCAGGAGGGGCCCCTGTGATCACCTGGAATGAGTCCTGCCTTCTGCTACCCTCCTGCTCCCCATTCATACCTTCATCCATACACTCGTACTCTCATAGCCTTTGAGTTGATACATCCTCTCTTCTCCCATACTGTTATTTAGGTCGACTAGAAAAAAGTATAGCCAGGAGTCCGTACACTTCATACCTTCGCCCATACTCTCGCACTTTCGTAGCCTTTGATACGTCCTCTCCTCTCCCATACTGTCCACGAATCATGCTCTGCCAGCTATTGTCGCCACCTCTGCTGCTGCCTTGTCTGCCTTTCACATCTTGATCATTCTTGGCCCTTGTCTTACCATCCTGATCCATACCTTTCTCTTTTTTTTTTTCACCCTGACTCACCTCTGGAAAGAAATTGCTGCTGCTATCGCCACTAGCAGCAGCAGTGGCATCGGAGGCAGAGGCGGCGGCAGCAGAGGAGGGGTTGCTGGGGATGATGCGTTTCATCCGCTCCCAAACGCGAATCATCCTCTGCCCGCCCGTTGTCGCCGCCTCTGCTGCTGCCTTGGCCGCCCTCTCCCCACTCGACGCACGCCGTGCTGTGGGATGGAAAAAGAGAGGTGAAGGGAGGGGAGAGGAGGGTCAACTCAAAGGCACCAATCGTTTGCTAGCGGCAAAACACGGCAAGCTAAGGGGCTGGCAGTGACAGGATGGGGCATGCCAGCAGCAGCTAAATCAGAAGCAGTAACGCGAGGAGAAGCAGCAAAGCAAGAAGAAGCAGCAAAGCAAGAAGAAGCAGAAAAGCAAGAAGAAGCAGCAAAGCGAGAAGAAGCAGCAAAGCAAGAAGAAGCAGCAAAGCGAGAAGCAGCAGCAAAGTAAGAAGAAGCAGCAAAGCGAGAAGCAGCAGCAAAGCGAGAAGAAGCACTAGCACTGGCCAGTCACATGCCATCATCCACAGCAGCAGCCTTGCTGGGAATTTGTGCACCAGACTTTTCTTTTCTACCACCAAAACTGGTAGACGATCTCACAGAGTGGGTCTGCAGCGCCAGCCGCAGTCGAAACAGCAGCAGGACCAGCAACAGCCACAGCTGCAGCAACAGCAGCAGCCGTTGTTCCACCGACGACGCCACCGATGCCACCAGTACCAGCAGCAGCATCACCAGCGCTAGCAGCGCCGCCAACGGAAGCAGATGCAAACCCTATTGTAGCACTGTCAGAAACCACACCACGCTCCACCTCCTCCTCCTCTTCCTCCTCACCAATCCCTCCCTCTCCTCCACTCTTCACCCTGCCCAGCCTCCTCCCTTCCATCACCGGACCGCCATACACCCGCGTTGACTGGGACACTTGCAGAACCGGCCTATTTTCGTCCAGAGTTTCCCCTGATTCCCCCAGGGCGGAGCTTTTTTTGCGCCGCAGTTCCCCCTTGGCGGCGGCAGAGGCAGCAGCAGGGGGGCGGGACTTGAATTGAGGCATTTCAACGTCTAGCTTGGCCTGGAGCATGGCTGCTGGGTCGTTGGTTGGCGCCCAAACGCTCCTGCTGCTGGCTGCTGCTGGGGGGTCGAGGGGTGAGTTGAGGGAAACATGTTTGGGGAGAGGGGAGAGGCAGAAGCAGGGGGGCGGGACTTGAATTGAGGCATTTCAACGTCTAGCTTCGCTTGCAGCATGGCTGCTGGGTCGTTGGTTGGCGCCCACGCGCTCCTGCTGCTGGTTGCTGCTGGATAGTAAAGGTGAGTGGGGGGGGAGGAGGGGTGGGGACTCAGACATGCACTCGGCGGTGGCAGCAGTTGTTGTGCAAGAAAATGCACACACTGGGAGCAGCAACAATGGGTGTGCCTCGAGAATGCATTCACCAGCGGCAGAAGCAGTGGGTGTGCTTTGAAAACGCGGCAGCAACAGTGGGTGTGCTTTGAACACTCACCAGCAGTAGCAACAGTGGGTGTGCTTTGAAAACGCACTCACCAGCAGCAGCAACAGTGGGTGTGCCTAGAAAACGCACTCACCGGCAGCAGCAGCAGCAGCAGCAGCTGGGTGTGCCACCACCTTTCTTCTTCTGCTGCTGCTGAGCCGCCACCAGCTCGTTCTGTCGCTCAATCTGCCATGGGGGGGGGGAAAGAGAGTTAGTTTACAGAGAGGGGAGGGTGCACAGTATTACACGGAGAATCTGCCTTCGATTCTTGTGAGAGACGGTTCTTCAGCTTGCTGCTGGGCCGCCACCAGCTCGTTCTGACGCTCAATCTGCCATGGGGGAGGGGAAGGGTGAGAATACTAGGGGAATGACTGAGACTATCTTACTCACGTGCAGCAGCAGCAGCAGCAGCAGCAGCAGCAGCAGCAGCAGCAGCAGCAGCAGCAGCAGCAGCAGCAGCAGCGGCAGTGATTATTCCCTCAGATATATCTCTCATTTTTTTAACTAGACTAGATAAGATAAAACGTTACTCACATGCAGCAGCAATATCTCCTCCCTCAAACACACCATCCACACTATATGTGCCTCAAACGAATAGAGCATGGAGCAGGTGTTATGAGAGCGTGTGTTATGAGAGGAGGTGTTATGAGAGCAGAAAAGCTCAGATAAGCTCTCATTCACGTGCAGCAGCAGTATCTCCTCCCTCAGATATGACATCCACTCGTGCCGAGCAGCCATCGCAAGCTAAGCCTATGTGTGGAGCCATCGCACCACTCAAAGAGAATGGACGACCACATGAGATGAGAACTCACGTGCAGCAGCAGTATCTCCTCCCTCAGATACGACATCCACTCGTGCCGAGCAGCCATTGCAAACAGTGCCTCCTTCTCCTCCTCGCTCACCCCTCCCCTCTCCCCTCCCCTCTCCCTTCCATCCTCCCGTCCCCCTCCTCCCCCTGCCCCTCTACCCACGCCCCCACCAGTTCCCCTACCTGCCCCCGCCCCACCCACACGCCCACCCTCTCCCTGCCTCACTCCACCATTGCCATCTGCTGTACCACCAGCAGTACCACCAGCAGCAGAGGCAGTGTCTCGGCGGCGAACTATACGAATGTCATTGCCTGCCAGCAGCGTTGTCAGCGCATCTGTACCGCTGACTGTGTTCGTGGGACGAGTAGCAACTGGGATGGGATGGGGGAAGAAATGGGGAAAGGGAGATAGAGGTGTCACGGCGGAGCACTATACGGATGTCATTCCCTGCCAGCAGCGTTGTGAGGGCGTCTGTGCCGCTGACTGTGTTGGTGTTGATTGCGGGACGAGTAACAACTATGGGGGGGGGGTGAGGGAAGAAGGGGAAAAGAGGGGAGCGAGCGATCAAGTTGAGATGATTCATATTAGCGACTTAAACATCACCGCCAGCCTCCCTTCCCCGCGTGACTCACCCTTCCTCTTACACCCCTCCTCCTCTTCCCCTTCTCCCTCCACCCCCCACTTTCCCACCTTCTCTACGGATCTCCGGGGGTGGTTCCGCCTTTACTGCGCTCACGAAGAAGCTCCGCGCCTGCCCACCCCCCGTCATGCTTACACCCCTCTCCCCCCAATCCCCCAATCCCCTTCTCTGCGGATTTCTGGGGGAGGCTCCACCAGTATTGCGCTCATGAACACGCTCCGCTCCGCGCTGACACCCCTCCCCTCCCTCCCCCCTTCCCCACCTTCCCCGCAATTCCCCCCTTCCCCGCAATTCCCCCCTTCCCCACCTTCTCTGCGGATTTCTGGGGGAGGCTCCGCCAGTATGGCGCTCATGAACACGCTCCGCGCCTGCCCCCACAGGTTCCCCTCCTGCCGCCCCGCGTTTCCGCCCGCGGAGCCATGCCTGGGAAAGGGGGGAGGTGCGCGCGGGGGAAGGGGGAATCCCGGGGGAAGATTGAGCCAGAGGGAGGGATGGGCGGGCAGGAAGGGAGGGGGGACGGGGTGGGAGGGGGAAAAGCAGGGGTAGGGATGGAAAGTCAGAGGACGGCAGGTTAGGCCAAGGCGAGGGGAGTGGGAATGGGGTTCGGCGGAAGAAGGGGCAGTGGAGAGGAAGGAGGGGCAGTGGAGGGGACTGAGGGGTAGTGGAGGGGGGAAGGAGGGGCAGTGGAGGGGAGTGAACAGATAAGAAGAGGCGGCGGTGATGACGTGATGCACGGTAGTGTCAGATAGTATGTCAGGTGGTGTGTCAGATACTGTGTCAAATTCAATGTCAGTACCACTATTGACACTTGAACTGGCACAGTGTCAGATACAACAATGACCGACTCAGTGGCTGACACTGACCGACTTAGTGGCTGACAATGACCAGCAAGGACTGACAATGACCGGCAATGACTGACAATGACCAGCAAGGACTGACAATGACCGGCAATGACTGACAATGACCGGCAATGACTGACAATGACCGGCAATGACTGACAATGACCGGCAATGACTGACAATGACCGGCAATGACTGACAATGACCGGCAATGACTGACAATGACCGGCAATGACTGACAATGACCGGCAATGACTGGCAATGACCGGCAATGACTGACAATGACCGGCAATGACTGACAATGACCGGCAATGACTGACAATGACCGGCAATGACTGACAATGACCGGCAATGACCGACAATGACCGGCAATGATTGAAAATTACTGACAATGACTGACAATGACTGACAATGACTGACAATGTCTGACGATGACTGACAATGACCGACAATTGCCGACAATGACAGTCAATGACTGACAATGACTGACAATGACGGATAATGACTGACTGACTGACAATGACGGACAATGACTGACGATGAATGACAACGACCGACAATGACGGACAATGACTGACGACTGACTGACAATGACTGACAATGACGGACAATGACTGACAATGACTGACAATGACTGTCAGTCAGAATGGCCGACTTAAAGGCTGACGCAATGTCGGATGTCAGTCACAATGCCAGTTATGCCAGTTACTATGTCACAATGCCAGTTACTATGTCACAATGCCAGTTACTATGTCACATACATCTACCGACGACATGACTGACACAGTGAACGACACATTGTTAAACACATCGCTAGAGACTCAAAGTAACGCCATGACACAGTCACGTGCCATTACGGAACAATTTCGTACGTTGACCTCCTAAGAAGCAGCTCGACGCAACCTAATCTCCACTGCCCACCTTTGGTGATGCCTTCCGTCCATAGCAGTCTGTTACAATAAGAAAAGCGGTCACGACTAGGAGAAAGCAGTTTTAATGGTCATATAAAGTGACATACGTGCAAGTAACAGCTCTCATAGCTCAGTTGGTTAGAGCACCCGTTTAGTAAGCGGGAGGTCTTGAGTTCGACTCTCAATGAGAGCAATTAGATACTATGTGAATACCGTTTTCATGTTTGATGACTCCAGCGCTTTTAGCTTCTCTTCATCTGAGTTCATATTCTACTCCACACATGTGCTCAGATGCCTGGTTCCTCATGACTTTGGTTCAGAAAAAAATTGTAGTGCAGAGCAGAGGAACAATGTAAACCAGCACAAAAGTATATTGAAGTGTGGTGTGGGGTAGTTTTGGACACATGTATAGGGTCGTGGGTAACTCGGAATTTGAAATGTTGCTCTCGAAAACAAGTATGGCCTCTGGATTACTTGACTGGTTATAAATGAAGCAAACAGAAACAAGCATGAAGATGGATCCAACAGGAGCACATGCGCTACCCCTGTGCAGATTTTACTCCCACGAGAAGAGTGCATGGGGGCAACTCGAGTGAGTGGTCGGTGGTGGGTTTGATGGATGCGTAAAAAGCAGAGAAGAGGACGTGGTATTAGCATGAGGAGGAGCATAAGGAAGAAGAGTGCGGGGAGGAACAAGTCGAAGAGGGTGAGGAGCGAGAGGAGGCAGTGGGGGAGGAGGAGGAGGAGCACAGAGGAAGCTTAATACTCCTTCCTGCATCCAACTCTCCAGCCAATCTGACCTTGCCACATCAGATCTCTGTATGTGCCTTCCAACCAAATGACTTGCTCTTCTTATGCCACCGCCGCCACTGCTAATTTTGCCGCCGCCGCTGCTGCTGCTGCTTCTGCTGCTGCCGCTGCTGCTAGACTGCTTGGTAGCAGCAGCAGTGCCAGTAGTGCCAGCGCCTGTTAGCTGACACCCACAAATCCACTCATGCAGCAGGCTCGGTGCTGCTGAAGCTGCGGGTGGTGCTGCTCCTGCTGGAAGTGCAAATTTTGATGCTCTTCCAGCACTTCCCTCTCCCGTTCTTTTCTTTGCATCCCAGCCACTTTCCAGGGCACGGTTGCCGGAGCTGCTGGTTTGGTGGCTAGGTTTGGGCGCCGGACCTGGGTAGGTTCGGAGGATGTTGAGAGCGAGGGCGTTGGTTCGGCAGAGAAGCCGAGGCTCATTGGGTGGAGAGAGCAGATGGAATGCGGCTGTTGTTGGGATGGAAAGATCAGGGGGGAGGAAAGCAAGGAAGAGCGAGATAAGAGGGAGGCTGGAGAGTGGAGAGATGGACGAGGACCACGGAGAGATTAGCATTTGTCAACAAAAGAAAGTCTAAAAACATTCTAGCTAGACAACAAAAGGCTACATAAACCACTACTGACAAGCCCCCAGCTCTCACGCCAGCCACAAGCCCCCAGCTCACATCTTAGCTTGCTCAGCACGTCGCCTTTCACCAGTGTGTCTCTCAAGTCCAGACAGAACATGCCGCCCAGAGGCACTGTAGCACTCAGACCTGCATGACAAAGGGGGGAGGGCCTTGGGATACGAGTCAGTCCCACGTGGCTGACAAGCCTCAGCACCACACGTGGCTGACAAGGCTCAGCATCACACGTGGCTCTATTGCCGTCAGATATGCTTGTTCGGAATCTCACAGCATGCTTCACAGCGCACCTAATGAGTCTGTTTTGGAGCCAGCTCAAAGACAGAATCTCACAGCATGTCTCACAGCACACCTAGCAGGTGTGTCGCTCCGGTTTTGTCCACAGAGGTCCCTTGCAACCGCAGGTAAACGCGCCAGATGCTCTGAAAAACAATTACGATTTAGTTTAGGCGCATCAAGGAACGCACCTAGCAGGTGTGTGGCTCCAGCCCTGTCCACAGGCGTCCCTTGCAGCCGCAGGTAGACCAGACAACACTCACGCCACTCCGACTGCTCTTGACCCTCAACCTCCTGCTGCTGCTCGGGTACTGATTGCGGCTGTTGCTCTGATAACGGCTGCTGCTTCTCCTGGGTGAGGCAAAACCGCTTCGTAGTAAAGGAGGCGTGTGGGGTCGGGTCATCAGCTGGCGTTGTGTGTGTGGCCGCCTCCCACCAAGGGCGCTTGGCTGGAGAGCCGTGGAGCAGGGCATAGATGGAGGTAGAGAGGAGTGTATGAGGACTTTTGAGAGGCTGATGGATGGGGAGCAATCCTGAGTTGATTTTAGTCACACCACTCCCGAGTTGACCTTTGATTCGACTCAAAAGTCAACTCGAGCTCGTTTCAGGTACATGGCAGGACAGCGGTGCAGCAGAGCAGAGAGGGGGTTATAGACATGGATGGATGGGAAGATTGAGCGTGAGAGAGAAATGGGGGGGAACCATTGCAGTAGTGCAGTACTGATGGACAGTCGTGCAGCACTGGGAGCACAGAGGTGGGGACATGGAACGAGTATTGTTCCAGCACTGCTCACCACCCCAACCGGTGGGGGTGGTGCAGCACTGTTTGTCCATCCCACCAACACTGCTCTATACCCCACTGTCCAACATTACACTCAGCTCACAACCTCGCTGACAACCCCCCTCCCCAATCCACCCACCTGCTTTCCGCGCTTCCGCCTTCTTGGAAGCTTCCTGAGCGTTGACCCGCCACCCCTTCAGCCGTGCACCGTAGGTGAGCGAATCAAGGAACGCGCGGGTGACTGCTGTGTGACTCAGGTCTAAATGCCGGAGCGAGCGAATCCCTGAGGAGTGAAAGATGAGAGGACGCAAGGAGAGAAGCGGGACATGGAAAGCATTGAGAGCGAGTCGAGGAACGAGGCCTGGGAGGAGGGGTGGAGGTGGGGGGGGAGAGGATGGCGCAAAGGGAGGCTTACAGGCGATGGCATGGGTGGCAGTGGCGTCATTGACTTGAAGGTTGCGCGAGAAGTCAAGGCAACTCGTTGTGAGATGATAATTACTGCTGGCAGCTTTCTTGCTACTGACTTTGTTTTCTTTTCCTGGTTTTCCTGGTTCAAGTTGCCCCTGACGCTCTGAAGCGGCTTACAAGGGATGACAGCAGAGGCAGTGGCGTCGTTGACTTGCGGGTTGCGTGCGAGGTTAAGGCATGTGAGTGATGGGAGGTCTGGGAGGAGGGGACAAGGGCACAAGATGGAGGATGGAGAGGATATTGCATAGAGTGTGAGCGGCCGAAGAAGGGCAAAGAAGAGAGAGAGAGAGAGAGAGAGAGAGAGAGAGAGAGAGAGAGAGAGAGAGAGAGAGAGAGAGAGAGAGAGAGAGAGAGAGAGAGAGAAAAAAAAAAAAAAAAAAGCTTCAGAAACCGGTTGAAAGAGGAAAGGGCATGAACAGAGAGTTATGCGAACATGGGAGCTTATGCGAGTATGGGTGGTGAGAGGCGTGGCGGGTGGGAGGGGAACGTACAGCAGAGCATGTTGAGAGCTGATTGGTGGAGAGACGGGCAGGCGGCAATCCCAAGGCAGGACAGGCGAGGCAGCGCTGTGGGATGGGGATGGGGATGGGTGTAACGGGGTGGAACGGTCAGGAAGGGATGAAAAGGCGTGAAAGCAAGTAAACTACCACTCGCTCGTTCATCATGACTCGCTCATCCAGCAAATCAGAAGCATATGCTCTTGAAAGCAAAAGCGCGCTCACCGCTGAGCGGTTCGAGGCCTGTGAGCCAGGGACTGTTGCTCATATTCACGCGATGCAGCGACGGCGCGAACGCAGCTAGCCGTTCCAGCGGAACCCGCGCCAAAAATCCCGCCAAAAATCCCGCTGAAAATCCCGCCGGATATCTCGCAGGATGCTGTTTAGATAAGACATCAGCAAGGTTGAGAGATTCGGGCTGCCAGAAGCCAGCGCGAGCGAAGGCGTCTATTGCGGCGAGCTCGAGCGGCCGCGGGAGGAACGAGAACACGAGGCGCGCTAGTTCCGGCGGTAAGATACGGAGATTAGCGGCAAGTGCGGAGACGTTCGCAGCCGCGGCGCGAGCCGCGAGATCGAGGAGCGGCGGCGGTGGGAAGCAGGTAGAGGGGGACGGATAGGAATGGGAGGAACGCGGGGGACAAGGAGCAAATAAGGGAAGATTCGCGACAGACGCCATTGGCGGGTGGCTAGGAATTGTAAGGGGTGCGTGCGTGGTAGGCACGTGTGGGTACCGTAGCAGAGCGATATCTCCTCCTGGATTCAAGTGAGCCCTGGCTGCCTGTTTCAGACCGCGATGTCACTAACCCGCCGCGCCTCGCCTCAACATGGCCTGATTGAGCTTGATTGAAGCGTACTGATTTGGGTCGACTCATCAGCGAAGTCACAAATTTGAAGCCCGGACAGAAGATGGGAGGATGTGAATGTGTGCAAGAGTCCGGCTTAGTACGGTTCAAAATGTTTTCTATTCGCTTCTGAACGTTTCCAGCCGTCTAAAACGGCTTAGACGGCTGAAAATGGTTTCAACAGAAGCATGTTTTCTTGAAATGGCACACGTATTCCCCAGACCGTCACCGCTCCCCACCCATCTGCGCTTCCTTCGATGTTGGCAATCTCATCAGGAGTACAGAGTGCATTGCCTTTTTGTACCCTTTGCTAACACCATGGTCAAAAGCTGTTTAGAGAGCCTAGCCAGACCTACACAGGTTAATAACATTTGGCTCTTCAAGAAGTGGGTGAGAGGCGAATCATAGTAGGCAGTATATAGTGACATAAGGAGGTAGTCTATAGTGAAAAAATCTCATTGAATGCTAAGGCCTGGAACGACATGCTATGGACGAGAGAGCAAGCAACAATATCTACAACTTCTACCTAAAACTAGGCTGCTGCAGCAAGCAGAGCCATAAACTTGCTAGGCACAGCTCTGCCAGGAGGCATCAAGACTAGACTTGGCACCCAGGACAAAAACTAGCGACAGAAACATGCAGCTTTCAGAGCCTCATCCCCAAATTAGGGCCTCAAACTCTCTCAAGGGCTCAAAATCCATCAGATTCAAAATCCGTGAGTCTCGCTGTTGAACCCCTTCTGCGGCTGCCAATCCAGCATCTTCAGCACTTCAATCTCACACGCAGCCAGACGCGATACAGGCACCTTCGCTACAGCAGCAACCGCTTTCGCTTTCGGTACACTCTTCTGATTCTCCTCGTTCTTAGCCGCGACCCACAGACACGCGGCCAGCAGCACGCGCAGCGACTCCGCCGCCATATCCGTCGGCTGTAGCCGCAGCAGCACCCGCTGAAGCATGTGGAATGCCAATGCGCGAACCGTGGGTACCTGGAGGCCGAGTCGTGACTGCCACGTCAGCAGCACGTGTCGCAGCCGCGCGGAAGCAGTCTTGCCGAGCTTTCCCCGCGCAGGCTCCGCACCTGGCGCCGCTACCGCCGCCTCTGCCGCCGCAGCTGACGAAAATTGCTGTTTCTCGTACGCCTCATATGGCCTCTTTCCTAGACCTGCCCCAGCGGTCGTAGCTGCAATATCAAATTGCTTCACCTGGGTGCCATGCTCGCTTACGAAGGGGAGAAACGCCGACGCTGCCAGCGACGCGTCGACGCCACTCGCTCCCTGCACCCGCTGGCGCTTGCTCTGGGGCTCGTCGACCGGAATGAGCGGCGGAACAGCACAGCACGATCCGCGGGACTTGCTAGTATCGTCCGTTGCATCAGTGTGAATTCTGCGCGCCATCCCCCAGGCGGAAACCCCTTCGTCGGCGGAGAGGGGGAAGAGAGACAGGGTGAGCGGGCTGTGTTCACGCTCCTGCCGCTGCTGCTGCTGCTGCTGCTCCTGCTCCTGCCACGACTGCTGCCCCTGCTCCTCTCGTCGAATCAAGCCCTCTGGTCGAGACGATTCGTGCAGCACGTCTTGGGACGGTACACTGAACAGCCCTTCCTGGGGCCTCTTCTCTCGCGGTTGCTGGTTGACGAAATCCGTCGAGCGGAAACCGTCAGACTCCGTCGTGAGGACGCTAACTGGGGAGTTATCGTCAAGCTGCGTCGCAGTCGCCGCCTGGACAAGCCCACCCTGGACACCCGTCACACCCGCCACGAACCCCCGGCGGGCCGCCGGGCGCGGCAGATGTGTCATGAGGGGCGGCGCAGCAGCGGAGTTTCCGAGGGAAAAAGTTGAGCTAGCGTTTAAGAACCCCTGCAGAAGCTGCTCAGACCCGGAAGTCAGCCCTTCAGGCAGAAGGCTATCCGTAGCCGCCGCTAAACTGTGCGGGCACGGCCCAGTCGTCTGCACGCTGGTAACCAGGTTACCGGTGTTCGTTGCGAGGAATCCCGCGGAGGGACAGAGCAGAGGCAGCATGCAGGAGGCGCAGAGGCAAGGGGGAGTGGCGGCGGTGGATGCGGGGAGGCCGCAGATCTGCACGGTCGTGGGCGCGGCGCAGCAGTGGCAGAGGACGGTGCGCACGTGTCTGTGCACGATGGTGTTGGCGCTGTGCACGGCGAGATCGCACGACGCGCAGAGATTAGCGCTGTCCGCGGGGCAGTGCACGGTTGCGGGGGCCGGGCACAAGGCGCAAACGGCGGAAGATGTCATGCTGGTAGCTGAACGCGACGGTAAGGAGAAGGCTGATGGGAGAAGAGTGGGAACTACGGAATGTGCTGGAAAAACTGACATAATTTCCAAGTGTAGTACGTGTCGATTCAGAACGAGTCTAAACGTAGTAGAGCGTATCCTGTGGCAGATAGCAGGAGAAATGCTTCTGGAAAGACAAGGATGCGTTGAAGCTCGAGGTTTTGAAACGACGAGAAGGCGAAACAGAGAACTTTATTCTAAATGCGAGCGGACTGGTGCCGAGAGGATTGTGAAAGACGGAAAATGTGGAGCAGGGAAGGGGTGGCGTGGCGTGGAGTTGATGGTTCGTTGGGAGTTTGCGGCTGAGCGAGGGATCGGGTGCGGAAACGGGGAAAGGCGTTACAATGTGAGCGTAGGGGCAGGAAGGAATGTGAGGCAGGGGCAGGAAGGAATGAGAGGCGTGGTGGATGTAGGCCTAGGCAACAATTAGCTAGGCATGCATAGGGAAGCACAGCAAATGCAAGCAAGATTCAGAGCAACTCGCCACTCGCATTTCACTCCTAGGAAATATCTGTGGTCGTCGTGTTCCGTCCGTCCCCTGCCAAAACGAACGCCCGATTTTCCTGGTTTTGGCGACCCAGGCGACGCGTCGCCCTGCCCGATGGCGCGCAGGGCAGATGGATTCGAGCGGCTTGAAATGTCTGGGAATATCAAGGCATGGAGAGAGACAGTCCACCCCTTCAACACGCCTCGAGTGATTCTCGTTTATGGTTGGTCGGTTTTACGCCAGTTGCCACGGTGTACAGAGAATAGAGGCGAGAGCGGACTATGGCCACATAACGAAGAGGCTCGCATGCGGTCGCACGTGACGCAGGGCAGTGAACACAAAGCATTTGCTGGACACAAGAAAAACACTTGTACAATTCAAGCTTCACTTCCAGCTCAGTTCATGGCCTGAATTCGCAGCGTGCTGTAAGCACTTTGCTGCCGGATCACGATGAAAAATGTGACGAAATGCATTCGCGTGGCTGTGGCGACTCATTTCTGTTCTGTTCTGCCCTCAGACGACACGTTCCCAACTTCCCACCCGCAGCCCCGAACCCCTCCCCCTGTGGTGTCTGTCTTGGGGCAGGAAGCAGCCACATCAGCAAGTCACATGGGTGAGGGGGATCCAGCCGCAAGGGCCGCTGCTGGGCGGTGCAGAACGTCATCACATCACCATCTAGGTGCGTGGCATGGGCAGGGCAGGGCATCAACTTCCCCTCAGCAACATCTTCTTCGTGTATGTGATTGGTTCACACCCGCGTTCGAAGTGGACAGGCAGCAGTACGAATTTATGAACATTGAAGCAGCAGTATTCTTCTGACAGTGTGAAAGTCTTCAGGCTTGGCTGTCCTCGGATTGGGCATACCATTGGTACAAATCTTAAAAGTTGGAAATGTAAAAGGGAACCCAGAAATGTTTTCTCCCGTTGCAACCCGTTGGATCTGAAGTGAGATCCAGGGCACTGTGAACCTGCCGAATGTGATATTGACGTGTCGCTGGAACAACGTAATCATGAGATCATCTCATTTCAAACCATTCTTCCTAACACTCAAGATCCACTCCACACGATGAAGCTGCTACACCCTCATTCTCGGTCTACGCACAATTGGGAGCCCTGGCTACAGTGCGTACTGTTGCTTGGACCCTAGCGATCTGGTGCTTGGAGCCGAACTCTAGGTAGGTGGCGGGCAAATGCACCCCATAGAGAACGGTAAACAACGGTATGTAAAATTATATTTGCTTTTGTGTACGGTTTAGTACGGCAAATGTGCTTACAGCGTATGTTCTTGGAACATCTTGGACGCATTGATGTCATTACAGCTGGCATGTTCATGTGGCGATTGTGCACAGACTGAGAATGAGGGTGTATAATTTGCTCGCGTGGATTCAGCTGTCAAGCATGAGAGGGGACAATTGTGCCCCAACACAAACTTGTGGAAGAGGAAAAAGGTGAAATCATAAAATCAAAGGTGACGTATGCCAGAAGTAAAAAACCACCGACGAATTCACGAGCCGTGGTCGCAGATCCTTGCAGAAGCAGAAGCACCAGGCGAATCAATAATGACCTCCCAACGCGCGACTGGTTAGCGCTGCCGCCTGTCGGGGCTCACTCACTCTGATAGGCGCGGTTGGCACTTCCCACAAGCATCCGGGGCAGGGCTATTGCTAGGATTTTTGCTAGCTCGGACGATCCGGGCCCCTGTGAAAAAGACCCTGTAAAATCCGAGCCAGCGGAAAAAAAACCTTGACGAATCCGGGTTCGAGCCAGAAAAGGCCTGAAAACATGCATTACCAGAATTTCGCGGGAAACTCACAGTGGGTTGCACGAGGGCTGGGGAGATTGGAGATGGAGTGGCTCTGGAGGGGTGAGCGAGATACTTATTGTAGACTTCGAAAAAAATACGATGAGGAAGAGTACATAGGGAGAACAGGGCAATCAGACACTCTCTCCTTATTGGCCTTCTAAGCCATGTCGACGTAGAACAGGGCAATCAGACACTTGGAGGCCAACAAGGAGAGAGTGGTTAGGAAATTCACTAAAAGTGGCCCACGTGTGTTTAGAGGGAGACGGAGAGGAATGCAAGGCAGGTCGGGGAGAACATGTCTGCTAAAATTATACGGGTCCCCTTGAGAACTCCCCGGAGAGATCCGAGCTGACTCAATAATCACCCTTCAGTTTTACGGGCTGGTCCGAAAAAAACCTTGTGAAAATCAAGGCTCCTTAAAAAAACACCCTATAATTTCAGTCAAAACAGGGTAATTTTCCTGATAACTTAGGCCCTGATCCGGGGGTGTGAATCTCCAGAGTCCACGGACAAAGTGGCTCCAGCATGCTAGCAACAAAGTATCAGGAACCTCATTCTGTGGCGGAGATTGAGAAGAAAATATCGCACTCCAGTAACAGCTTTGTTGTGACTCAACAACTTGATGACCTGGCTTTGACGCCACGAGCCCGCACCCATTCCAACGGGAAAAACGTAAGAAAGCAACGTCCACTCTACAAAGCCCACGTGTCGTAAATTCTCAGAAGGCAGCAGTCGGTGAGTTGACCAACCACCACCACCTCAAGAACAACTGCGTTCAAACGACCCCCATGTCGAGTTTACAGATCGACATGAGATCCACTTACCGTATAACAATAACTTCTTGTTAGTTTTTGTTGTTGTTACAACAATAACTGATTGTAGTTTCAAAGGGGGGATATGTTGTCACATCCTCCAGAAATACGGAAATAGTTGGGAATTGAGGATTACTGCCTCCAGTGAGGGAGGCGCCTTCTCCACCACTCCCTCTATTTTGGAAAGTTCAATTTAATAACCATCCATCACCCAGACACACCTATGTGCACGATTGAGCGCCTATCCGTTTTAGCTTGAAAATGAGCTGAAACCTGCAAGAGACAAATTTGACAGGCCTCCAGTGAGAATATTGTCAGAATCTCAGTCACTAACCACTGGGATAAAAGGGCTTGTTTGTGTAGCGGGTGAGTGTTAAGTTGTAATGTGTTATACATATGTGGGTAGGCTGTAGTGGGGTAGCCAATACAGGGTACAAACCCAACTAGGGTTAGCTACTTGTACCCAACTGTTTCTTTCAATGCATCATTCTTACGCTAGTATTCTGAGATGGTATTCAGAGCAGGTGGTCCCTAGGACCATCCGATCGTTTTTTTTTTAGGGCCCACCACCGCACGCTGCGGTTACCGCGTTACCCCCGCGCCCTACCCTCGTAGCGCCCTCGTTGCGCCCTAGCGCCCTCGTAGCGCCCTTGTAGCGCCCTCGTGCGCCCTGCCGACCGGCGTCCTGCCAGCCCAGAGCCCCGCGCGCCTCCCCCTCCCCTGCTTTGCCCGTCGCGCCGCCCGCTCTGCCCCGCGCTGCCCGTCGCGCTGCCTCGCAGCCCCGCGCACCGCCCGCTGTGCCCCGAGCCGCCCGTCGATCTGCTGCGCAGCCCCGCGACCCGCCCGCCCTGCCCTGCGCTGCCCGTCGCTCGGCTCTGCAGCCCCGCGCGCCGCCCGCTCTGCCCCGCGCAGCCCGTCGAGCTGCCTTGCAGCCCCGCGCGCCGCCCGCTGTGCCCTGCGCCGCCCGTCGCGCTGCCCGCCCGCCCGCCGCGCTGCCCGCTTGCAGCGCCGCCTGCCCGCCGCGCTGCCCGCTTGCGGAGTCGCCCGCCAGTCGCGCTGCCCGCCTGCAGCGCCGCCTGCCTGCCGCGCTGCCCGTTCACAGAGCCGCCTGTCCGCCGCGCTGCCCGCTTGCAGCGCCGCCTGCTGCTCCCTACTCGTGTGCAATTGCCCACCCTTGCTGCGATTGCTTGCGCTGCTCTGTCATACTGTCGCTATGGCTTCCATCCGCGTGCTGTCGTTCGATGCTGAGGGCCGCCCTGTGCAGTTCACCACTTGGCTAGATGACCTGCAGCTGTTCCTCCTGAGCGATAGCAAGGAGCATGTGTCGCTCTATGATTATGCGTCTGGTGCTGCGCCTGCCCCTCCTGCCACAGCTGAGCTTAGTGTTCGTTCCCACTGGCAGACTCGTGACGCAGCTGCTCGCCTAGCCATTCGCAGTCACCTGCCGTTAGCTGAGCTCGAGCATTTTGGCGACTGCAAATCCGCTAAGGCCCTGTACGACGCTGTCGTTGCTCGCTACTCCTCACCGGCCACAGCTGAGCTTAGCCGCCTCATGCTGCCTTACCTGTTCCCTGAGCTGTCCACCTTTGCTACAGTCGCCGATCTTATCACCCACCTTCGCACTAGTGACGCTCGCCTGCGTGCCGCCCTTCCCACTGAGTTCTGCGCTAAGAACCCCCCTCCACTGTACTGGACACTCCACTTCATAGTCACCCGTCTCCCTGACACCCTCAGCTCAGTGCGCGACTATTTCCTTGCTCGCTGTCCCACTGAGCTCACTGTCGCCCTCCTAGAGGAGAAGCTGCTAGCAGCCGAGAAGAGCATTGTAGCTGTAGGTGCTGCTCGCGGCGCTCCTCGC